ATAAACCAGGACTGCGCCATATTCTACATCAGAATGTCCTGACCCTATTCCTCATCGCCCACACTGCCTTGAGTCAAAATTCAGCTCCTGAAGGGGAGGACGCGACAATGAGAGATTTGGTCTCTTTTTGATGCTCTATTATCATGTGAATGTCAGCTCTGGATTGCCATGTAGTAATATTTAAAACTCTGGCAGATGGTGAAAAAATGCATAAAGACCGAGGACAATGATAAATATCATAAGAGATATTTGGGAACTATTTTATATTTAATACTTTGTCAACCTACTGCTAACCAGAATAAATATCAAGAATGAGTTTGATCAACCTTATTTATTTATTTATTTATTTATCTTTAGCTTCCCCCACTAGCTCTGCCTCTCCAGTTCTTCCTGATCAACCTTATTTAACCAAGTGGCCTATAAAAAATTGACTAATTGTTTCACCTTTCTTTGATGGGTACAAAATATATTGGCTATTGTATGAACTCTTGTCCAGCCTATAAATAGTTGAGAGCACTTGAATTGTTTTTGAATGATTTTAGACAGCAGATTTATATATATTAGTTTACTGAATTTAACCTATTTTGTTATTTGTCATGGTCAGTATTATAACATGTTTTAGTTTAGAAACTTCTAGCCAGTGCAGACTCCTGTGTTCTGAACTCTTCCTGGCTAACTGGACTTCTAAAGACAATGAATTATTGCCCTGCCTGGGTAGCTCAGTTGCTTAGTGTCCCAATATGCCAAGGTTGTGGGTTCAATTCCCAGTCAGTACACATACAAGAAGTCAGGGCACAAACAAGATGAATAAATAAGTGCAACAAATCAATGTTTCTCTCTCTCTCTCCTCCCCTCCCCTCCCTCTCTGCTGTCCTCTCTCTCTAAAATCAATCAATAAATAAAATAAAAACAATGAGTTACTGAAAGGTTTGTTTTGAATACTTAGAAAGGCAGAATGATCTGTCCAAATTATAGGTTCCTGATTGATGTGGTAAGTACATGAAGGCCATATGAATACATAAGAATAGTCCTGCCCTGGCTGATGTGACTCAGTGGATTGAGTGCCAGCCAGTGAGCCAAAGGGTCGCCAGTGCGATTCCCAGTCAGGGCACATGCCTGGCTTGTGGGCCAGGTCCCCAGTTGGAGGCGTGCAAGGAGCAACCGATCAATGTATCACTTGATCATCAATGTTTCTCTTCCTCTTTCTCCCTCTCTTCCCTTCTCTCTAAAAATAAGTAAATAAAATCTTAAAAAAAAAAAAGAATAGTCCTGAGGGTTTACACTACAAAGATGAATTTTTGTTTGTGGTAATCCACAGGTACCCATCATTATATGAATTTATTTGGTCTGGGTGGACTTAAATTTTGTTATAGCTTCTGACTACTAAGAAAATAATTGGATTGTAGCTTATTTCATTAGTCCATGTTCCTTTCCTTTTTATCCTTGATGTCTCTAGAGTTTCTTTGAGACGCTATGAAACATCAGTAACTATATCATTATCAGAGTCCAGAGATACAGAGTAGGGATGTTGGGGTTAGTAATGTTAACTATAATAATATAATTATAGTTATAAATTGATACATAACAATAGTTAATATTAACTATAATAGTAACCATAGGATTTAGAGGCTTGATGACAAATACAACAGATTTGGTAATTCAGAGGTTTTATAGCATACTAGTATCTTTCCATTGGCACCCCAGAATTGCCCCATTTCCTTTCTGAAATTTCTCAACAACAGAAAAGAACAACCCTAACAATATGCAGATAAATTATTACAATTTGTTAAGTAATAGAAGATGACTTACCTGAACTAGAGAAAGATTTTTATCTTCAGATTGAAATAATTTATCAATTCCCAGTGTGATGATTTTAAAGTATGTCTACCAATTCTTTGACATTCCTCCCTAGGAAAGTTGGAGCTTTATTCTCCTTCCCTTGAGTGTAGGCTGAATTTAGTAACGTGCTGCTCTAGGTCACTTGCTCTGGAGGAAGCCAGCTGCCTTGTCAGAAAGACATCTAAGCAGTTCTACAGAGAGACTCTGATGGCGGGGAACTGAGGTCTTCTGCCACCAGCCATGTGGTGTGCCGTTTTGGAAGTGGATCCTCCAGTGCCAGTCAAGCAGTCAGGTGACTTGAATCCCAGCTGACATCTGCACTGCAACTTCATGAAAGACACTGAACCAGAGCCATCCAGCCAAGCCATTTCTGAATTCGAAACCAACAGCAACTGTGAGATAAAATGGGGGTTGTTTTAAGGTGCTAAGTTTTGGAGTAATATAATGAAAATACACAGCAAGGATTAAGAATTTTTTTTAAAAAAGGCACATTTATAAATTGAAGAAAAACATTGCAACCATAAAACAGAAAAAGTTACCTACAAAAGAAAGAAAATCAGATGAATATTTCATTCGTATCAGTAGTAGAAGCTGGAAGTCAACAACTACACTTTTTAGACAAGCAGATTCAGTTTACCTATATATACTTTTTTTTTTTTTCCAAAAATAATGGAAGAAGTACTGGCTGGTGTAGCTCAGTGGACTGAGTGCTGGTCTGTGAACCAAAGCATCACCAGTTCGATTCCCAGTTGGGGCACATGCCTGGGTTGTGGGCCAGGTCCCCAGTAGGAGGTGTGAAAGATGCAACCATACATTGTTGTTTCTCTCCCTCTCTTTCTCCTTCCTCTCTCTCTAAAAATGCATAAATAAAGTCTTTAAGGAAAATAGTGGAAGAAACTCTTAACAATATAAAAAAGGAACCGAATTTAATCATGACTACACTAAGATCCTGGGGGTAAGATAAAGAATAGCAAAAAAAAAAAAATCCTATTTTGTAATATATAAGTTAGATCTAAATGAATGGAGATAGTGTGTGAATGAGAATTTGTCATTTATGTTGTAAAATTAGTCTTAAAATAATTTTCAGTTACACACATAACTTAGTATTAAATTTTCTGATACATTCATCATTCAACAAGTATTTATGTTTAACTTACAATGCATATGTATTTTAAAAGAAAAAAAAAACACATTTCAGTAAGTTCATATACCTTTGTTGTCCACAAATGAAACTTCCCTTAAGAATCATTCCTTAAAAAGTTTTCCTTAAAATTTCTTAAACTCAGTTAGTTTAACCTTCAAAAACTTTTCTGAAACATGGCACAACATTAGTTTTTAGAAATGAGGTGTCTACATAGTTTGGTTTCCTGTCTAAACTCTAGCTGACATTTAACACATGTGTAACTTTTTGCATTCAAATTTTAACATCCCTCTTCAGGAAACCAATCTTTTTTCTCAATAATTTTGAGATGGAGAACATTTATTTCAACATTTTTTTTAATATGAGATTGTTTACTTATTTATTTTTTAAAAAATATTTTATTTATTTATTTTTAGAGAGGGAAGAGAGGGAGAAAGAAAGAGAGAGAGAGAGATCAATGTATGGTTGCTGGGGGCCATGGCCTGCAACCCAGGCATGTGCCCTGACTGGGAATTGAACCTGCAACACTTTGGTTTGCAGCCCGCGCTCAATCCACTGAGCTATGCCAGCCAGGGCTTATTTCAACATTTTAAGTGGGAGAGGCCAGCAATGTTACATTTTATCTCTTAAATGATGTAAAGTGTTGTTATGTTTAAGTACAGGTTTATGTTTTTAGAATGTTATCCAGTGGAAAACATTAACCTTACACATAAAATTTTATATGTAAATACTTGCATGTAAATATTATAATTTATATGTATGTATATGCTTATAAATATATAAATTACTTATATATAAATATTATACATAAAACTTATTATAGGTGATGTATTTTCTATATGTTTTTGTGCCATTGTGTCAGCTCCAACGCCAGTCAACTCTATGAATGAGTGATGTCTACAACAACGGCCTGTCCTCAATAGCCCTGCTGAGGTCCTGTAGAGTCATGTCTTCCTTTGTGTGGAGTCAATGTATCTCGTATTCGGCCTTCTTTCCCTGCTATCTTCTATTTTTCCAACATTACAATCTTTCCTAAAGAACCCTGCCTTCCCACAATGTATCTGAAGTAGGATATCAGTTTTATTATTTTTGCTTCTACCTGTTTCAGGCTTAATTTGCTCTAGGACCCCACTTGTTCATCTTTCTGGCAGTTCACATTACCCGTAGAGCTCTACTCCCAATACATTTCAAATCAATTTATATTACAAAAGCTTTTGGTTCCTTAAGCTCACTTTTCTCTTATTTCAATTAAGAGTCCACATTGAGTTATCATGAAACAAAATTTTCATACTTGCCTCTTATAAGAACTTTTACAGTAGCTCAAAAATAGTGAGATGTAACGAGTTGCATAATTCCAATTCACTCAACCTAGTGGATGGGGGCACCTAGTCCCCAGTTTCCCCTCTCATCTTCCTCTATTTTGGAAAAGCGGAAAACAGAGAAACCTAACACCTCTTGAGCAGTTTCATTCATTCTATAAACAGGATCTATAACGCATCTCTTCAAGTTCTAGCCAGGCCTTTTTTCTACCCTTTGGCGGGGGGGGGGGGGGGGGCACAAAGCACCCTTGCCTGCTGATTAAGAAACTTCTTAAACTTAAAACCATTTTCTCCCGGGTTCTAGTCGGCCCACGAAATTAACGGCATCGCACGAAACCCCAACCTGCAGTTTGGGCATTGCCCTTCCTCAGCCTAACGCCCAGCCCTCGCTTAGCTACTGGAGCTTCACAAGTTGCAAAGATTTAGCACTGGCCGCGGACACCCGTTTGGCTCAGCTCGCCCTCACGTGGCAGCAACGGCCCAGTGACCTAGGCCCACGCTTTCCAGACGGCCGCATGCGCTCACAGAGCCTCAGTGCTTCTGGAGCCCCGCCCCCGCTGCACTGTGCCACCGCGTTAACCCTCCCAGGAGGTCCCGGCCGCCAGAATTGCGCGTTCCTACCAAGCCCTGTTTCCCAGCCGGGCCCCGGGAGCATGTCCTGATTGGCTTGCTCTGAAGGCGGAGATGGGACTTCTTTGAGACTAGGACCACTTCCTGAAGCGCGGGGCAGGAAGTTATTTGGTGTAGCTGGAGTCCCGTGGAGAAAGTGCTGTGTGTCGCATTGGTAGTGGCGCGAACGGTCCGGTCTTGCTGCAGTTAGTGCCGGTTTCCATCGTAGCACCACGGCCCCTCTTCCAGCTCCGAGCCCGGCGCGGCTGCCCGGGGGGCTCCTTCAGCCTCCTTGACGCCGCTCCAGGGGGCGCTTACCTAGCCATCGCCTGGGTCTCCAGCCTGGAGACTAGCTCCCGGCTTCCGCTCTCCGAGCCGCAGTAAGAAGGGCCCTTGTCACTCTCGCTCTGCCTTCCTCTGTCAACTATCGAGACCCTGGTCCAGAGCGGCAGCCTTGGACCTCGGACTAGACGGATCCAAGACGCTCAGCCCAGACCCCCCTCAGACAGGGCTTTTCATCGTGTCTAAAATGTCACCCACCATCTCCCACAAGGACAACAGTCGGCAACGACGGCCAGGGTCTTTCAACCCCTCCCTGGATATGAAGAGCGGCCCTCTGCCGCCGGGCAGCTGGGATGACACTCAAGTGGAGTGGGTGGGCGGAGAAGGGGACAAAGAAGCTTTTCTTTCGGAGGTCGGCACCGGTGATTTCCCAAAACCACCAAGGAGTTGCCAGGCCGAATTAAGCAGCATTTTCCTGTTGCTTTTTCTTTACGTACTTCAGGGCATTCCTCTGGGCCTGGCGGGAAGCATACCACTCATTTTGCAGAGCAAAAATGTTAGCTATACAGATCAAGCTTTCTTCAGTTTTGTCTTTTGGCCCTTCAGTCTCAAATTGCTCTGGGCCCCATTGGTTGATGCGGTTTACTTTAGGAACTTTGGTCGTCGCAAATCTTGGCTTGTCCCTACACAGTATACACTGGGAGTCTTCATGATATATCTATCCACTCAGGTGGACCGTTTGCTCGGGAATACCGATGGCAGAACCCCCGATGTGGTTGCTCTCACAGTGACATTTTTTTTGTTTGAATTCCTGGCCGCCACTCAGGATATCGCTGTGGATGGTTGGGCATTAACTATGTTATCCCGGGAGAACGTGGGTTATGCTTCTACTTGCAATTCAGTGGGCCAAACAGCGGGCTACTTTTTGGGCAATGTTTTGTTTTTGGCCCTTGAATCTGCTGACTTCTGTAACAAGTATCTGCGGTTTCAGCCTCAACCCAGGGGCATCGTTACGCTTTCAGGTAGTGTATTTAAACTATGCTGTTTGGTTTATTTTACGTTTATGAATCTTTTTGAAAGTGTGTGACGTTGGAGGGAAGTTCATTATTTCATTTACTGGAAATCATTTTATGGGTGGTGACACAAGGTAAGTTTTCTCTTCCACTAAAATGAGAATGGCTTAATTGGAGTAATCATAAGTGATCAGTACTGTGCAATAAGCAGGGAGAGGCAACCTATGGAATGGCAAAGAAAACTCAGTCGAGGATCTGTTGCCTAATATACAGATGCGCTTTTTTTAATGTTTTCACCCAAGGACATGCTTATTGATTTTAGAGAGAGAGAAGGGAGGGAAAGAGGGAGAGAAACATGGATCTGTTGCCTTTCGTAAGCACCCCGACCAGGGAAGAACTCCACTGAGGACCAAACCCACAACCTAGGCACGTGCCCCAACGGGGAATTGAACTCTTGATCCTTCCGTTCACCGGAGCAGGCTCCAACAAACTGAACCACACTGGCCAGTAACATTTTTTAAAAGTCTGGCTAATGTGAAGACACGGATCCAGGTTGACACCTGTGTTTCACATTTTCCTTTTTTCTTTCCACTGGATTGAGATTTCTGTTCCATTTCTAGCCCCTGTTCTTATATCAAGAGACTTCATTTAGACCTCTTGTGAAAGGAACAGGGTTAATTTATTCCAACATTAGTTATTTGGCTAAGCGACAGAGTTCTAAGTACCTGCTAGAAAGCAGAGCCCAAACCGCAGGGAACTGGAGAGATGCCCATTTTAGGGGAGCTCAGAGTTACTGGTGATTGACTGCTTGTGGGAGTCAGGCTTTTCCACTGCAGATGTTTGACCCTGTTGAGTGGTAACATACCGTGAAGTGGGTAAGTGAAATTCCAGAATGCACACCAGGTGAACATGCTCTGAAGAAGCCAAGTACAAAAAAGTATAGGACAGTGCCTGTGATGTTCAAAGTGCCTGAAGCAGTATCTGTGGGGGCTCGGTTCGGGAAATAGTGCTGAAAGAAAGGTAGAGACCAATCAGTAAGATCTCTTTTAAATGCTATGAGAAAGAGTTTGAAGTTTATCTAGTAAGAAGTTGGGTGTAAGTTCTACAAAATTTCCCCTTCTTCTGCATGAGTAAAATACATGCCTCTATAAGGTTTTATGAGGATTTTTTTTTTTTTAACTTTCCTAGCAACTAGGAAACAGAAGTGAAATGCTCACTATTAGTACTACCCAACGTCAGGAATATAGTATAATTCTTCATTCTGGTAGTGATGATGAATTTAAATAGCTAAATTTTCTCTCATCTTCCCAGTACTAGATTGGGAATTCCCAGCAAGGTAAATCAGGGGTAGTTGTGTGGCAAGGGAAGTGTAAGAGTTACAGTATTTGGGGAGTGGCAAGGAGGGAGGGATTCACAACTGAAGTACTCATCCCCTGAAATCTTAGAAACCTCTACACCCCGTAAGGGATCCCCTTTCTACCTTAAACCGCTAATGAAGCCACTACTACTGATAAAATGATAATTATACTTTTCATTAGTTGGTTTGGGGCCAAAAATGACTGAGAGCTCATTGTTTTGCACTATATAGATTTGTCTGAATTCTCTGGGCTCCTTCTCCTGCTCTATGGATAAATCTCTGCCTAAAAATAATTTGTGACTGCATCAAATTGGCACCTTGTTGCTTTGTATCTGTCCTGCTTTTCATTGTGTACTAGACTGTGCATGCCAGTAGGAAAGGCTAATGAGGTGATAATGTTACTTAACATAAGAAGTCTCAGTAGAGAAATTAAGATTTAAAAGGCTGTGGAAACTATATTACTAACAAGGTAATGAACTCTCTGTTAAGTGTAAGAGTGATTGATAAAACATCATTCCAGAGAATGACATTCAGGAGCCATTCTAATTATATCTTTTCTTAGCCATAGCTGTTCCCCAATAGGAAGATTTTGTGCCATTGGAGTTTTATGCACACTGATTTGTTATTTTGAATAGCTGTTCAACTGTGGAATTGGAACTTTGTTCTCCTGGAAATTGCAAAAGTAGCTTACTGTTTAATTTGATTTTTTATATCTGTAGTGGACTGCTGTTTTTGGTTTAAACATTTTAGTAAGTTAAGAGTTGAAGAGTTTCTGAATTTTCATTTGTCTCTTTATGACTGCACATAACACATTCATAGCCTTGTACTTTCTGGAACTTACTATACAGTAATTGAGAAAAACCAGTGGTTTTGAGGAATTTAAAGAACATGGAAATAATCATGAAGGAAATAAAATTGTTAGGTAATAAAAGAAGAGCCAAACACTGAGGCAGATGCTTTAGAAAATCAGGAAATTAAACGCAGGCCTTATTTTTTTTGTAGAATTCTAAAATATGTTCTGTGATTAATACTTTGGGCATTACAAATACATGGAAGTGAATATATTGAGAAAGAACAGGTTTTGCCATCTAGAAAGCAGTGATCTAAATAGTAAATATAGAACAAGAAGGATAGGGTGCAAATAAAATCCCCTAGAAACAAATCTTGATTATGCTGAGACTGGTTTTGGTACCGTCAAGGGTCCAGGACAGCACTAAACTCACAAGTGGGCTTTTTCTGTCCTGCCACATTTGGTTTTCAAGGATCTTTAATCGCAAAAAGGCATGACTTGTTTAGCTGTAGGAACTGATTAAAGTAACTAAAAAAAAAAACATGAAAACATAAAGTTTTATGACTTAAAAGAATCATGTATTTCAACTTCTTCATTCATGTCGATGAAGAAACTGCAGCCAAGTGGCTAGAGATAGATGTATACCTACAGTTTAGATTTCCTGACTCCTTAAATATAATACATGTATAATGTAACATAATAAAATATAATATAATATGTGCTCATTGGGCTTTTCTATGAGAGAAAAGTAGCACTAGGACAGCTGATGTCTAAAAAAACATTATCCGACTCCTGGACGGTCCAATGACCAGAAGTGACAGATCAAAAAGGTTTTTTGTTTATTTTAAGTGATGCATGTTAATTCATTTACTCAGTAGTGAGTGTTTGTTTCATACTAGCCATGTGATAGAGTTATAGTTTGATGAGTAAGACCTGAGAATTTTCCGCTCCTAGTGAATTTAGAGTCTGTAGTGAGGTTTGTAAACCAAAATGATGGAGGGGGTGAATGGATAATGTAAATGAGTGGGTTGGTACAAGACTGCAGGGATTGGAGGGGACAGTGATGACCTGGAAAACCCATGCCCATCTAATGACAGGGGGCTTCAATGTGGCAGTAGGGGCCTAGGATTGCTAGATTTCATGAATATTCAAGAGAAGCTGAAAAGTTTTTTCCTAATTAAAACAGTGTTGATTGATTTTAGCAAGAGAGAAAGCAAGTTGGGGGGTTGAGGGGAGGAAGAGAGCAGCATCGATTGATTGCCTCCCATACACTCCCTGACCAGGAATCAAACCCACCACCTAGGTATGTGCCCTGACCAGCAATCAAACCTCCAACCTTTTGTTATAAGGGATAGCCTCCAACCAACTGAACCACATCAGCTTGGGCTTTTGCCCCCTAATTTTAAAAGCACTAATTAGATTCATGTAAAATGTCTCTTGGCCAGATCTAGCTGGTAGTTGAGGCCAACTTCTCTGCAAGCAGTGGTAGCAGCAATGAATAGAAGAAGTGATTGGGACTGGAGACAGGAAATTTGGGTTTGGGGACAGGGAGCAGGTTAGATATCAGAGAAGAGAGCTAAACATACTAACAGTTTATGAATCAATTTGTTTACAGACAGGGATACACATTAGGAATCAGAGAAAAAGGAACTGTTGCTTTGGAAAAATGGATGCTCTAAGTGTGGAGCTAATCAACCTAGTGATGATAATAGTGACAACAGTATGTATTCATAGGACATTCATGCTTTGAACTAGGAAGAGAGCAGGACCAAGTCTTACTTGGTGGCACATTTCTTTGTCTTGCTTTTTGAAGCAGTACTCATTAATATCTTTTATGTGACTAGTAATGCTATTCAGAATTGGGTAGAACTAAATGACACATTTCTAGATAGGCCGGTTAAGTTTAAAGCTCCTCTTACATTCTCAAAAGGTAAAACTAGAGAGATGGAGAACAGATTGGTAGTTGCTAGGGGTTGTGGGTGAGAAGATGATGGATAGCTGGAGGGAGTTTTGGGGAGTGATGGAAGTGTTCTGAACCTCAGTTTTGGTTGTGATTTGAAAATGATACGTGTTAAAATTCATAGAACTATACATTAAACATTTAGTTTTACTGTATAATAATAAAGTAAGAGTTGTATTAAAAGAGCTAATTCATTACCTTAAAAGCTAATCTCTGGATGAATATTATACACCACACCCCCCCCCCCCCGCAAAAAATGAGTCCATTACCTTTAAAGCTAATCTCTGTATAATAATTTAAAAAGTAAGATTTATACAAAAAAAATTTTTTTTAATCCATTAACTGCTATGGCCAGGTGGCTCAGTTGGTTGGAGCATCTTCCCATACACCAAAAGGTTGTGGGCTCCATCCTTGGTCAGGGCACATACCTCTGTTGTGGGTTCGATCCCTGGTCAGGGAGCATACAGGAGGCAACTGGTTGCTGTGTTACTCTCACATCACTCTGTCTCGCTCTCTCTGTCTCCCTTCCTCTCTAAAAATCAAACATATCCTCAGGTGAGGTTTAAAAAAAAAAATCCATTACCTTAAAAGCTAATCACTGGGTAAGGATGATATAATCCTTGAGTTTAGCTTCCTTTTTGCCTTGAATGAAACAAGTCTGTAAATCTGGTGGATCTTACCTCTCAGTGTAGACAAATGGAGCAAATTTGGACTTATTTTCAAATGTTGTGGACTTAGTAGTAAAGTGAGATAAGTGGAAAAATACCGTGGCTATTATATTCAAGAAGGATTGGATATCAGTTATTAAAAACTGGAGCCAAGCTCTGGTTGGTGTGGCTCAGTGGATTGAGTACCAGCTTGTGAACCAGGGGGTTGCCGGTTCAATTCCCAGTCAGGACACATGCTTGGGTTGTGACTGGGTTCCCAGTATGTGGCATGCGCAAGAGGCAACCACACATTGATGTTTCGCTCCCTTTTTTTTCTCCCTCCCTTCCCCTTTCTCTAAAAATAAATACAATCTTAAAAAACTGGAGCTCACATCACAGAAGGAAAGTCTTAAAGCCACTTAAGAAAAAAAAAAAGGAAGGAAGGAGAAATGGTGCTATGTGCTTTCTTTGTCAAGTAAAGAACTGTGGATTGTTTTTGTGTGGAAAAGTCAGTTTATAAAATACATAACAAACCAAGAAATTATTAGATTTTATTTGGCATCAATCTTATTCTGAATTTCACTTCCAATTTTATTGAAATTTATTTAGAGGCCAGTTGAATTAGCCTGTAAAGACTTCTTTTTTGATTCTTTATATTGTCTTTTATTTAAGACCTACATATCTTGTTTTCAGCACAGTCTAGAACTTTTGCATTCTTAAATTTGTCGTTCATTTTTTAAAAGCTTTTTATTTGAAAATAATTATGGATTACAGGAGGTTGCAAAGAAATGCTTAATGAAGTCCCATGCACCCTTCCCCCAGCCTCCTCCCTTAAGCATCCTAGGCAACTACAGTACAATATCAAAACCAAAAAATTGACAGAATCAATAGAGCTTATTCAGATTTCTCCAATTATACACACACTCCTTCGTGTGTGTGCCCGTGTGTGGTGTATGCACTTCCATCACATGCGCAGCCTGGACTAACCACCACCACAACAATCAAAGCGCTCTGCTGTACCATCGCCGCAAGACTCCTTTGTGCTGACTTTTACAGCCTTACCCCTTTCTTCCTCTCCATCCCTAACCCTAGCAACCACTAATTTGTTTTCCATCTCCAGAATTGTTATTTCAGAAATGTTACCTAAATGAAATCATGCACTGTGTATCCCCTGGAGATTGATCCTTTCCATTCGGCTTAATTTCTTTAAGGTTCATCCAGGCTGTTGCATGTAGTAATGATTTATTTCTTTTTATCGCTGAGGAGTATTCATTTGTTAGACATATCACAGTTTATTTTGACACTCATTCGTTGAAGGAGATTAGGGTAGTTTTCAGTTTTTGGCTATTGCTTACATGAAAATAAGTCTTCTTTTGTCTGAGATGAATGCCCAAGAATGCAAATGTTAGTTTATGCTAAGTCCATTTTTAGTTCTGAAAGGAACTCCCAAAATTTTTTCCAGGTGGTCCTACCATTTTATCTCCCTACCAGCAGTGTATGAATGATCGATTCGTCTTCTCTGCATCGTTGCCAGCATTTGATGTGATCGTTGTTTTTCCTTTTTTTATTTCCCCCGTTTCTTTTTTGATGTGACCATTATTTTTATTTGATTGCTCTGTCCTGTGTTTTGCCTTGAATATTAAGCACGCAGGTGCTAGCTATTATATCCTATTTTTGCATTCATGAGAGCTCTAGGTAAGATCTAGTAGCCACTTCAGAATATTTAGTTTGTATTATAGGACTTTGCTCAAAAATCATATTTATGAGACTTAAACATCAGCTTTGACATCTTTTTTAAAAAATATTTTATTTATTTATCTTTAGAGGGGAAGGGAAGGAGAGAGGGCGAGAAATATCAATGAATGGTTGCCTCTCTTGTGTCCCCTCCTGGGAACTGGCCTGCAACCCAGGCATGTGCCCTGACTGGGAATCGAACCTTGATTTTTTTGTTCACAGGCCTGCACTCAGTCCACTGAGCTACACCAGCCAGGGCAGCTTTGACATCTTGATCATATCATAGAATACATTATATAGTATAACATCACAATGCTTTTGTAGATACATAAATCAAAATGAACCAAAATATTAATAATGAAATATTGAGATCATTTTTGATAATAGCTTTATAGTGGTTAGTATATCAGGCTATGCATGTTTAAGCATCAAAGGAATGTTGATAAACAATAGCCAATAGTCCAGTGGTCAGTATTTATGGTAATTATGTTCATAAATTATGTCAGTATGTTTTCTGGCAGTGGCAAAGCCTCTCTTTCAGAGCTGTTAGCTTCATTCTGTTCATGTGAGCTATGGAAAGCCTTCAAATTAGGGCTCTGAATGATGCATTGTTACTATTTCCTTCTTTCATGTGCACTGTTTTATCCTCAAAGCACAAAGAAATTACACATAATCCTGTCTGCAAATGAAACTAAAACCTGTTTAACCTGTTCTTACCCTCTATTTTGTGCTATTGATATCAAGGAGTTTAAGTTTTAGATGAAGAGTTTTTTTCTTTTTTTCATTAAAATTGGGAGACTATACTAAGCAAGTTTTTTTAAAAAAACATTGCTTAGAGAACTGGAACTCTTAAAGTAATATATAACTGAAAAACTTTTAATTTTCACTTAACATTTACATAGAGACCATTAATTGAAATTTCTGGTGACAGTGATAATATCGTTTTGTGGGGTTTCTTAAATAGTTAATTTAAGCCAAGTAAGGAGCAAAAACTTTCTGAATGAGAATAGTATTATAGATGAAATTCTGTAAGCAGGCCATTATTTGTCACATTTCACAGATGACTTTTGAGGATGCAAAAATAATGAACATTAGCCTTATTTAAGGAATAATCTTAAATTTTTGTTCATTCCTTTTGAATTTGACTTCAGAACATCCTATTAACATAAAGTAGAAATTGTTGTGATGTTATTTTGATGAACTTTAATCATAACTTGTATATATTACTGTGTTTTAAAATGGATACCTTTGTGTTTAAGAATGTTTTCTGTCTTCTGGTACGTAACGTGAAGTATAACTTTCCCATGTAGGAGAACTACCTCAGAATACAAATATCCATTTATGCTTGAATCATTTTAGCTTCTTTAATTTGCATCACTTGCGTAACAGAGTCTTGTTTTTGGTTAGCCTGTGGAGATTAAACAAGAATTCAAGTAAATTCTTAAAAATTTTTGTTTCAACATTAATTTAAAAAATTATGCAGGTAGTGTGAAAGATGATAAAATCCCAATTCAGATTTAGTTTCAAGTTCTGCCTCAATAATTTTACATTCAGCAAAGATTTAAGTATTCTGGGCTTCTTTTCCTCATGTCTCTGCATAGTAATAATGCCTGCTTTGCCTTTCTCATGTATTTGCGTGTGAGAAAACGAAATCAGATGACATATAAAAAAGGCACATTCAAATACTAAGGTGAAAAATGGGTCTAAACATACAATGCTGTTGTCTCCGTCATAAGTGAGGGTCAGTTGGCAGTGATCACCGTCAGCCAGCGCAGCAGCAGAGTGAGGCCAGATACAAAGGAAGGCCCCGACTGAAGAATGCTCTGCTTGTTTCTGAGAAGAGGCAACTGGGTTCCATGAACAGTTTGTTGTGCTCTGTGAGCAATAAAATAAGAAGTAGACATATAAAATCAGTACAAATCTAGAATGTTAGAGCTAGAAAGCATCTGGGATTTTCTAGCCAAGGCCTCGTATTTTACAGAAGGTGAAACTGGCCTGGGTTATCCAATAAGTTTTATAGTGAAGAACTGAGATGCGCTTCTCAAGGTGATTAAGGAGATACCAGTTTTGAAATTTATTATATAAGGCATCAAATCAAAATTTTATCACCGACTCAGAACTAACTTCAGGCATCACGTCTCTAAGTCTGTTTCTTTATCTGTAAATTGGGACTAGTAATAAATGAATCTCGGGTTGTTGTAATAAGGGAGACATTTTATGTATGTAAAATGCATAGCACACTTATGGCACATGATATATATCCAGTAAATGGTGCTTTTATGATCACTATTATTTTGAGCAACTACAGAGAATCTTTCAGAACGTCATTCACCCTCTCTGCTTTATTTGTTCAAAGCAATGGCTAACGGCCCAGCTATCTTTCACTGACAACCCAGTGATTTTCACGTGTCCCCATTGTGCAACTGCAAGTTTGAAAAAACTGTTTCCATACCTCAGTATTGGAAACAGAAAGCTATTCTTAAACAGTTTTAAAACATTAGAAAGTTTAAAAATATGAGCTAGAAAATCTAAATGATCATCTGTTTATTGTCTGAGTTGTCATAATTTAATAAAGAACTGAAATGGCTTAGGCGCTTAGGAAGTGTGACTGATGGGTTGGTCGTATGGGATGTGAAAATCACCTCTCCAAACCCCAAGCACGTTTCTTCAATAATGACAGGTAGACTTTCATTGTCATCCAACCCACTAAGCGTCTGTAACCCTGTTGTTTTTCCTCGTTAAGTATCCCTGTCTAATTTTGGTCTGTGTAACGTATGTTAACAGAGCCAGGTCTGCCTCGCTCATATGCAGCGTCTGGTACTTACGGCACCTTGAACGTGATAGGCACATTGTGCTAAATTTTTTGTAACAGATTTTAATTGAAGAAAAGTTGTATACAGAATTATATACTATCAATGAAGTTATGTCATTTCAAAAGTTAATTATCGATGTTAACATTTTAAATTTCAGATTTCCTTTTTTTCTGGGGAAGTGTATTTTTGATAACAACAACTTTAGTTGCCATTCTGAAAAAAGAAAACAAAGAGGTATCAGTAGGAAAAGAAGAAACCCAAGGGATCACAGATACTTACAAGCTGCTTTTTGCAATTATAAAAATGCCAGCGGTTCTAACATTTTGCCTTCTGATTCTGACTGCAAAGGTAAGAGATTTATAAAGCTGTTTACCATTCTGTTATAATTACCATTATCATGAAATACTTCTGTTGCCTTTTCATATCATAAGCTTCTTTCCATTACTATTAGAATTTAACAATAAAAAAACATTTTTGTTTATTAAATATGCTTTAAAAGGTATAATGGTATCATATAATTTCAAAGCTAACTGGGGAATCTTGAAAAGAATTGTGCCAATTTCAAGTATGTTTAATTAATGTGAAATTTATTTAATGAATAATAACGCTTGGTGTAAAAGTGAATGCCTTGAAAGAACAATAGCTCTACTGTTACAGTGAGTATACATTTAATGTTAGAGATAGTAAAATTATTTACTTAGGATGTGATTTACAAAGATATAGAAATGTATGAGTATTAGAAGTTTATTTAAAAATCAGTTGTATTTTTTTAAATGTAGAAGGAAATATACATAAAAATGGGAATTTTAGTGATTTTTATTTTTTTATGGTTTCTATATAAAGATGTCCTAATTTTATAGTTCTAAAACATTTTATTTTATTTTTAATATGTTTTATTGATTATGCTATTACAGCTGTCCCATTTTTTTCTCCCCTTTATTCCCCTCTGCCCTGCACCCTCCCTCCCACCAGCATCCCCCACCCCTTAGTTCATGTCCATGGGTCATACATATAAGTTCTTTGGCTGCTCCATATCCTATATTATTCTTAACCTCCCCCTGTCTATTTTGTACCTACCATTTATGCTTCTTATCCCCTGTACCTTTTTCCCCCATCTCCCCTCTTCCTCTCCCCACTGATAACTCTCCATGTGATCCCCATTCTGTGATTCTGGTCCTGTTCTAGTTGTTTGCTTAGTGTTTTTTGTTGTTGTTGTTGTTTTTTAGGTTCAGTGTTGATAATTGTGAGTTTGTTGTCATTTTATAATTCATATTTTTAATCTTCTTTTTCTTAGATAAGTCCTTTTAACATTTCATATAATAAGGGCTTGGTGATGATGAATTCATTTAACTTGACCTTATCTGGGAAGCATTTTATCTACCCTTCCATTCTAAATGATAGCTTTACTGGATAGAGCAATCTTGGATGTAGGTCCTTGCCTTTAATGACCTTGAATACTTCTTTCCAGCTCCTTCTTACCTGCACAATTTCTTTTGAGAAATCAGCTGACAGTCTTATGGGAACTCCTTTGTAGGTAACTGTCTCTGTTTCTCTTGCTGCTTTTAAGATTCTCTCTTGGCTAATGTAATTATGATGTGCCTTGGTGTGTGCTTCCTTGGGTCCAACTTCTTTGGGACTCTCTGAGCTTCCTGGACTTCCTGAAAGTCTGTTTCCTTTGCCAATTAGGGAAGTTCTCCCTCCATATGTTTTCAAACAAGTTTTCAATTTCTTGCTCTTCCTCTTCTCCTTCTGGCACCACTATGATTTGGATGTTGGAACATTTAAAGTTGTCCCAGAGTTTCCTAAGCCTCTCCTCGTTTTTTTGAATTCCTGTTTCTTCATTCTGTTCTGGTTGCAATATTTATTTCTTCCTCCTGGTCCAAATCTGGCCCTGGCTCCACCCCTCCTGCCCGTCTGGATGGATGTTTCTTCTTTGGCTCCTCAGTTGTTGAACTTCCGTACAGCTCGATTTCCTGGTAGTTCTGGTTAGTTTTTGTTTTTAAATTTGTTGTCCTTCTTTTGGTTGTGCGAGGAGGCAAAGTTTATCTACCTACTCCTCCATCTTGGCCAGAAGTTCTGTAGTTCTAAAACATTTCAAAGACATGAAGCTAGAAGAGGGGTAAGTATACTTTGTTAGAGTGCTAGTGTTGGAATTAATATCCCTAAAACCCAGAATCAGTTATAGGAGTTTCCTATTAATATTTAAACTTATATACATAAACACTGCATAACTATCTTTGACAACCCTGAAGTAAAAATTTTTCCCTTAATGTTTTTCAAATAGTGAATGTTTCCCCCTCTCTAGTGATAGGGTGGGTTAAATTTTAAGGAAATATTAAGAAAGTTTAAACTTAAAGAACTTAAAGTTCAACTGAAGGTAATGCTGAAAGATTCAAGAATGATAATATTAACTAATTACATAATTTACAGATTATTTTCTGTAACATTTTTGGTATATTTTCCAGTCCATTTCCTCCCGGACATGTGTGTGTGTGTACCCACATGTGTGTGTATGTATACTTTACATATATAAGTGTAATGAATTAATTATAAACAAATTGATATTAATACTATATATTGATATACACATAAATACTTTAAAAGTGTAATTGTATCATACTGTATTACATTTTAATCTTTTTATTGTGATTCCATATTCCTGTATCATTGAATAATATTTAAAAACTTTTGCATAACAATATAATTATCACAGTGAATAAAAATTGTCATAATTTATTCAATCATTTTTCTGTTGTATATTTAATTTGCTTAGGTTTTTTAATTATAAAAATGCACTAGTGACTTTTTTTGCAGAAGTTTTTCTTTGATGTTCCGAATATTTCCTAATAATAGATTCTTTTTTTTTCTTTTTAACATTTTATTTACTTATTTTTAGAGCAAGGGGAAGGTAAGGAGAAAGAGAGGGAGAGAAACATCAATATGTGGTTGCCTCTCATGCACCCCGAACTGGGGGTCTGGCCTGCAACCCAGACATGTGCCCTGACTGGGAATTGAACCAGCGACCTTTTGGTTTGCAGACCAGTGCTCAATCCATTGAGCCACACCAGCCAGGGCATCCTAAAAATAGATTCTTAAATGGGCAGTTAGCAGGTCAGTGAATATAATTGCTAAATTACTTTTGAAAAGATTATAATAATTTGTACTGTACACAGTAATAAGGAGGTGCTTCAATTACAGAGTCCAGAATCTCATGTTCCCCTTTTAAAGTAAACCTCACCAAAAGTAATCTCTCCTAACTTTTGTACCAGAAATTAGTTTTCCCTGCTTTTGAGTTTTATATAAATGAAATATCCAGTATATATTTGGATGGCTAGCTCTTGTATTCTTTCACTCAACATTATATTTGTATAATTTATATTGTTATTTATAGCAAAAGTTTGTTCATTTTATTGCTTATAATATTCCACTGTTTGAATATGCCACAGTTTACTCTATCCACAGATTAGTTTTTTTCTACTTTTTGATTATTACAAATAGCATTTCTGTGAATATTCATGTACATTACTTTTGGTGAACACAGGTGCACATTTGTGATGAGTAAATACCTAGGTATGTAATTGCTTGGTCATAAGTATACTATGTTAGTATATACTGCCAAACAGTTTTCCAAAGTGGTTATTTCAATTTCTCTACCATCAGCAGTGTAAGAGTTTAAATTTCTTGGTACCCTTGAAAACAGGTTTTTTGTCTTTGCAGTTTTAGCCTTTTTGGTGGATATGTAGTGGCATCTTGTTATGGTTATAATTTGTATTTCTCTGGTTACTAAAGAAACTGAGCATTTTTTTTCCATATGGTTATGGCCATTTGAATGTTCAATGTTGCCTTTTTCTTTACATTTGTAGAATTTTTATTTTTTATATATCCTAGATATGAGGTTATTGTTAGATGTGTATACTACAAATATTTACTACTATACCAGTTTTAAGACAGAGTAAATGTTGAAGTGAGTTTATATATAGAAGTTTTACAAAGACAATGGATGAATATAAGTGAAATTATTTTCTGGACTTACGTGAAGTATCTTTGACCTTCAATATTTTTTTTTACGGTGAAATTTATTTTAATGGCTCCATTCCAAGAGGTTGAAGTATATAAAATTTACCATTCCTTTTTTTAAGGAATTTTTTATTTGATGGAGTTTCATATTTATTAAAAATCTACTATATCATTTAAAGAATTCGCATGTATCTTTATCAAAGTTTTCTAATTGTTAACATTTAGTTCCATTTTCTTTGTTTTGTAAATTTGCAATCTATTACATATTTCTTCTGAAATATTTGAGAGTAATTTGTATATATCATGCCCCTTTATCCATAAATACCTTAAGTATGTATTTTCTAAGAACAACTTTCTCTTACAAAGCCACAACTTGGTTAAAAATTAGGAAATTTTAAATTGATACAATACTATTATCTAATCATAGTTCATATCCAAATTTCACCTGTTGTCCCAATAATAGACTTTATAACCTTATTTTTCTTTTCTTGTTAGGGATTCAGTCCAGGATTACACATTACATTTAGGTGGCATGAGTCTTTCTTTGGCCTTTGTGAATTGAACATTTTTAAGGAATATAAATGTTTTGTTTATGTTTTTTTTTTAGAAGGGAAGGAGAAAAAGAGGGAGAGAGATATCGATGTGTGGTTGTCTCTCTTGCACCCCCAACTGGGGACCTGGCCCACAACCCAGGCATGTGCCCTGACTGGAAATCAAACCTGAGACCCTTTGGTTCAGGCTGGCACTCAATCCACTGAGCCACACCAGCCAGGGCTGATTTATGTTTGTTTGATGTTTCTTTATATTTAGGCTCAGTTATACAAATATATCAGAAATATCACAGAAGTAATATTGTAATGTCTTCAGGGAATTACATCAAGAGCCATATCATGTCCCTTTATTCCATTAATTGGTGTTAACTTTGATTACTTTGTTAACCTATTTTAAAGTCACTTTCCGTTTGTACATAATTAAAAACTAATTTTGGGAGAGATACTTTGAGATTCTAAATATCTTAATTCACTTCATCTTTACTCACTACTCTTAGTATCCTTTTTTAAAAAAAATATTTATTTTATTTTTAGACAGAGGGGGAGGAAGGGAGAAAGAAAGGGAGAGAAACATCAATGTGTGGTTGTCTCTCACTTGCAACCCAGGCATGTGCCCTGACTGGGAATTGAGCCGGCATCCCTTTGGTTGGCAGGACAGTGCCCAGTCCACTGAGCCACACCAGCCAGGTGTTGTTGTTTTTAAGAATTAATCTAACCATACTTTTTCTTCCCCCTCATTTTATTCAACCTTTCAGATATAATGTTTTCTCAGAATTACTTTTGAAATATTAGAAGACTTTTGAAAATTGTATTATGGTTAGTCAGATATGTATTTGTGACACTGATGTTTCATTTTAACCAGATTTATTTGGAGTCATTTAAAACTTTTGAACTTAAAATAAATAAATCAGCAAGTTTGGATTTGGATACTTTATTATAAGAGATTGAACTTTTGAAATGGAAATTTAATTGTAATTAGTGCCATCTACAGTCCCTAGGAGGGCTGAATTTTTAGTTATTTTTCACTGAATATTATTATTAGTCTCCATAGGGCAAAGTGTACCTTCTTTAACTTGATTGTACCAGACGTTATAATATCACACTTGCATCAGTCAGTAACGAGATTGAGGTTCTTGAAGAGCTTACATATGCTTGGAGGAAAATATTTCATAAATCACAACTTAAAATATTTTTGTTTTTATATTACAGATCGGCTTTTCAGCAGCAGATGCAGTAACAGGACTGAAACTGGTGGAAGAGGGAGTGCCGAAAGAACATCTAGCCTTACTGGCAGTTCCGATGGTTCCTCTGCAGATCATACTGCCTCTGATTATCAGCAAATACACCGCAGGGCCCCAGCCACTGAACGTGTTTTACAAAGCTATGCCCTACAGGTAAAAACAAAATAAAACCTTCCTAAATAATAAGAAAGGTTAAATGAGGAGCAGTCATCAGTATAACTAATGTCTGTGTGTAGAGTATTTATGAAAAAAAAAAGGCTTTAAAAACATCTTTAATATCATTTATATGCACTTTTATCTGTTTTTAACTTCCTAGTAGTTTTTAAATACGGGCTTTTTTTGTGTGGTAGACACAGACTTCTGTTTTAGTTGTTTTTTAACCTAAAATGGAAGTTAGCTCAGTGTTCCTTTTTCTTTTCCTGTAGATTATTGCTTGGATTAGAGTATGCTCTGCTGGTTTGGTGGACTCCTAAAGTAGAACATCAGGGGGGGTTCCCTGTGTATTACTATGCTATAGTGCTGCTGAGTTATGCGTTACACCAGGTAAGCTTGCTGTTGTTTCCTCAGGAAGTAAACTTTTTCATAAAATAAAGAAGACAATTTTTCTATGGTTGCCTTAAAATAATGATAGCAAGTTTTAAGATTTAAGCACAGATCTGATAATGAAATTATTTGACAGTATACTTTAAACTTTGTGACTTTTTAAAAAAGATTTTATTTATTTAATTTTAGAGAGGGAAAGGAGGGAGATAGAGAGGGAGAGAAACATCAATGTGTGGTTGCTTCTCATGTGTCCCCCACCGGGGATCTGGCCTGCAACCCATGCATGTGCCCTGACTGGGAATGGAAGCAGCAACCCTTGGGTTCACAGACCGGTACTCAATCCACTGAGCCACACCAGCCAGGGCTCCTTCAACAAATATTAAGTGACCACTGATTCCATGCCAGAAAACATTCTAAGTAGTAAAGTATAACAGAGAGTAAATTATGCCGGAATCCCTGCCCTTGAGGAGTCTGAATCCTAAAGGCTTTTAGAAGGCCTGCAGTGAAAGGGACTGGTTTAATTTTATGTAACGTAGTGTTTCTCAGTCTTATTTGATACTGGAACACCCCATGGAACAGTATTCAAAGAAATGCTGTTTTGGAGACATGGTTTATTTCCATGCTCCTAAATGGATGGTTAATCCTTGGTTTTTGCCTTTAAAGAGATTTTTCTTTTCAGTTTGTCACATAAATTTTGAAATGTTATTTTTCTTATATCTGTAGAAGAAAAAAGATACATATGTATATAATTGTATTTCATGTTTCTTTGAATATTTGATTGTTTCCATGTATAATACATATATACGCATAAATGGACACACACACACGATATATTGAGGTGCAGTACAAATACGAAGTTTTGGCTATTCCTATGTGTATCTTCAAGACCACCTCATCTGTTTTCTCATTTGAGCCTTCCTTGACTTTTTATGGTAGAATTAATCTCTCATTTATGTAGGCCCCAGTAGCACGATGTATGTACTTCTGTTTATAAGACTTACTGCATTTCATCGTAATTATTTATTCCCTATTTATCAGCCTGGAATAAATTCTTGAAGGGCACAGAGAGACTCTTCGTCATCTCTCTGTTGCCACAATCTAGCGTAAAGTCTAATCAATAAATACTCAATAAATGTTTGTTGACTTGAGTTTAATAAGGGTCATGAAAATTAAGTTTCAGGTTTATGATTTTGATTTTCTTAATTCGGACTATAGCTTTATAAATTCTAATTGTACTAAAGATGTTTTACATTTTCCTTGTAGGTTACTTTGTATAGCATGTATGTTTCCATAATGGCTTTTAATGCAAAGGTTAGTGATCCACTCATTGGAGGAACTTATATGACCCTTTTAAATACCGTGTCCAATCTGGGAGGAAACTGGCCTTCCACCGTAGCCCTCTGGCTCGTCGACCCCCTCACGGTGAAAGAGTGTGTAGGAGCGTCAAACCAGAACTGTCGAACACCTGGTGCTGTTGAGGTAAGTATTTTGTCATTTTAGATAGCATTTAACGAATATTAAGGTATTAATTTCCTCATTTTGCCTCTAGAAGTACTACATTTATTTTAAAGATCATATCTGCCTATAGTTTCTAGTATAGAAATCTACATATTTTTTTCTTTTCCGTCATAACTAAGGGTCATAATGCATTCAAATCAGTAAGAGTAGCTTACTTGAAAGTGCTTCTCAGCAAGGGAGGAGCAGTCTCTCCCCTCCACCTGAGGATCGATGTCCTACACAGTAGGTACTTAATAAATGCATTATTAATAGTTGTTTCATAATGACAGCAAAAGGGAAATTTCATGTGGCTACTGAAATGGGAAATGGCTACTCATTTAACAATGGTAGGTAAAGCGAAGTGGTTAGTAGTTTGTTGATACATTACCTGAAGATAACATTCGCTTACTTGTGGAGTAGATTCATTGGGTATTTCTTCATATTTCAAATATGAAAAGCTGTATCTTGAAAATGAATGTTGTTTATAGTACGTGCTGAAAATTGCTTTTAATCTTGTTAGTACCAAGAGATCAAGATACATTAACATGTAACAAAATAGATTTCGATTAATCTTTTAAATTATAAATATGTAAATTTTTAAATACTTCCATTTTGAAATTATGGAATATTTATTAAAATTTTATTTTTACAGCTTTGCAAAAAACTTGGTGGCTCGTGTGTTACAGCACTGGATGGTTATTACGTGGAATCCATCATTTGTGTGCTTATTGGATTTGGGTGGTGGTTCTTTCTTGGTACAAAATTTAAAAAGTTACAAGATGAAGGACCGTCTTCGTGGAAGTGCAAAAGGAGCAATTAATGCATTCACTATTGGGCATTGTGAGAAAGGTAACTATAGTTTAGTTTTAATTCAGAGAGCTATGATAATCAGTGTACAGAACATAAAATGTTGTTTTCAACAAGGAAATTATTACTACAAATGCCAAATGGTTAAAAAACAGACCTCTCTCCGTACATGATTCTACTTTTCCTTGCCTTGTCAATGTATTTACAGTTTACTTAAGGTCAGGAAATGGGTTCTGAAACAACTTGCCTGGCCTTCTTATTTGATTTCTGTCTTTCAAACGGACTGACCAAAGTGTGTTTTAAGCAGCAGTACAGTAGCCACAAGTGGTGCCTGTGCAGTCGAGTATTGTTATCGGTGTCTGTCACTGAGCTATATTTAAAATTTTGATAAAATATAGTAAGTGGAAAAGAGCTTGATATTCCCATACTAACTGTGATACTCGTGGCCTGTTGAAAGATAAATCTTGTTCTGAATTGCAAATTGTTAAATTCTTCGTGGAATTTCCTGAGAAGAGAATTTAGACCACTGACTGAAATGCCACTTTAGTTGTTTTTCTGACCACAACCATGTAGTACTCATGAATCTGTGTTAAAAAGTCTATTTTAAATGTAATTCCTGCTTTTGTAGGCATTAAAGATTTATAAGATTATTCAAACTATTTTTTATAGAATGAAAGCTATGATCTTTAATTTATTGATTCCCTTGTCTACCCTTTTTGGGAAGATATTTTGATTCCTCGTTAACTTTTACCCTAACGCTCGCACATGTTTTTTGCCACAAGCGCTACATGGCACACAGAAGTCTCATTAGCGGGTCAAAGGTAGTGTTGTGTGTGTGTTCTTAGCACAAGTGTTGGAGACAAAAATTGGATGCTTCCCTTCAAGTCCTTTTTTTTTTTTTATGGAGAGAAATAGTAAAGCTTTCAGATTAAGTAAAATTTAAGTGAATAATACTGTAATTTTTTTTAAATGTTCTATCTAAGGAGAGGAGCAAAGACATTTTGTGCCTTTGACAAATTAAATTGTGGTGGAAGAATGGTTCTTAATTAAGCACTTTACTAGTGAGAAAAGATCTCACAATTACTTTATATCAAATCAGGTACTGTATTTCCACTTACTAAAACACGGTCTTCTGTTTGTAAACTATAGTCTCCAGTAGAGAATTGCTGTTCCAGAAAAATTAAGCTTTTCAGTACATTTAGCAATTTCCAACATAATTATGTTCACCCAGTAATAGAGTTCTTTGTGTATTTTGTATTGTGTGTTACTCTGACTTTTAAAAGATTACCAATCCTTCAAAAGAGAAAAAGAGAGATGAGTAGAGCCTTGCTTAATATTTTTTGTGGAAGAATATATACTAACTCCTGATTTTGTTAATTTTGTAACATAGGTCGAATGTTAGAGTGGGGTTTTTATAAGTAACGGAGGATAAAATGGGTGGGAGGAAGTGGCAGCCGGCATCTGAAGAAAGACCAGAAAGACTGCGGCGGCGGCCTCTAGCGCTCGCGCATCCCCGTTGCAGAGCCGGAGCTGGGCATTGACTCGGATCCTGAGGAATCACCTGGAAGCTCATCCCAGAGACAAGGAGTCTACGTCAGACAGTAGACTGCAGTACTCCATTCCATAGGTTATGCATTATCATGTGTTATAATCAACATGTTTACTTGAATAAAGAAAAAATTCACTTAACTCTCACCTGTGAAATGTATTTTGATTTTTAATTTGTGCACCAGGTAGCTCACATTGCCATAATTACCTTTTATTTTTTTCTTATTCATGTTACTATGAATTATACATATTTCCAAACATACTTTAAAGTGTTTTGTTTTTTTTTAATTTTTATTTTACTGATTTTAGAGAGGGAGGAAGGTACGGGGAAAGAGAAATGTCCATTTTTTGTTCCACTTATTATATGTGTTCATGTATTCTTTGGTTGATTCTTGTTGCACCCTGACTGGGGATTCAACCCGCAACCTTGGCACATCAGGATGATGCTGTAACCAGCTGAGCTACCAGGCTAGGGCTAATGACTGAAGTTTTAAAATATATTTTAAGCCTTTACCCATGCGATAAAGGTCAGTTATTGCATTTGTTCCTGAAATGAACAATTATTTTAAATTGTAGTCATTTGGTTATTGGCATACATGCTTATAATGCATGCCCCAAATGACTTATATTAATAGCTATATGCAACTGTGTTGCATACCTTGATTACTAATGGCATTTTAACAAATGAGCTAACTGAATCTGATGATCTGTTTATTGTAGATCAATAGTATTAGAAAATAGTACCTATTTTTGTGAATATTTTTCTTTACTGATTGGTCTTGATAAACTCTGCCCTCAAGGATGAGCATTAATTCCTTTGTTTAATGTATGTATTTACTGGCTAACATCAGATGTGAACATATCTCTTTTTGTCAGTACCTCTGTTTGCACATTGGTTTCAACCTGTATACTTCTGAGTTTGAAAAGTTCTTGTAAGATTAGCTAAGACCAAAAATAAAAACTCTCTCCTCTGTACTTATTTTAATTTTGCCTGATTGATCATAAAATATTTGTTCAACACTTAAAATAGGTTTTTCTTTCTTTATATTAAACCTTTGAAATCTAAACCTATTATTTGATTTCTTCCCTTTATTACAAGGGATTTTAGGTTAAACAGATGTCAGCAGAGACTTGAAATCCCTGAATTACTCACGAAACTGGATACGTAATTTTTTGTTTCTCTGGAAAGAGCTCCCATTAAAATCTTAAGTGGACTGTGATCCAGAAAAGTGTAAAAGCCTTGGCCTTACTGAATGGGGGCTGCATTAGGAAGTGTAAATGTAAATTTAGGATAATAGTTGTGAAGCTAATGTTGAAAGCATTGTGAAAATGATGTTAAAAGAAAAATCTATGATGAAAACTGGAAAATGCGTTTGTGGCACTGAACTTAAACCTTGAAGGAGTTAGAGCAGATAAGACAATACTAGTAGAAGAGGGACATAAGGTGAATTTTAACTCACAGAAGATATATTTTAGCTATTATTTTTTCTTATGAAAAACTTCTGCCTTGTTAACAGAAACCCCAAAAAAGTACATCTTAGATGGTGGAGATCATTATTTAATATAGCACAAGATCAGATTTAGTTTTGTGTTTTAGGCGGTCATGTTTTTTCACGTACTTGAAAGAATGAGTAAAACTATATGATATAGAACCTGCTAAAAACAACTAACTTGATTCCTACATGTATATATTTAATATTCATTTTAGTTACAGAAAGGAAGGTGATACAGTGGATTGTAACTACAATGACTTTTTTTTTAAACCAATGTCTTTGGTAGATAGCAAGGCATAATTATTTGATTTTCTGTTAGAAGGTTGAAAATACCTATTAAAAACTGTGTTCTTTTTGACTTCAGCTTAATCCCTTCCTGATCTGACAGTGCCAAATTTTACTGTAATCATATTTAGTTTGGGGTTGAGAGTCTTCATTTCCTGCTTCTCAGAAGTGCTATTAGAGTCTTCATTGGGCCTCTCTCTATTGTTAGCAAGGTAGAATGGGCACGGAGAGCTAATATTCCTTCCCAGGTTTCTGCAGTGGTAGAGGCAAGTCCTGTGTTGGGCAGAATAATTAATGTACAGGATTCATGCCCTCTCCCTTAAGTGAATAGAAACTTCATCTGAAAGTTGGATTCTAAAGATTGCTTTTAAGGAGGTTTTTAAAGGGAGGGTGGTGGCACTGGACATTTTGCAGGAGAAAAGTTTCATGTAGCAAATGAATATTCTATGATTATGCCCTAGCTGGTGTAGCTCAGTGGATTGAACCTGGGCTGGGAACCAAAGAGTCTCCAGTTTGATTCCCATGCAGGGCACATGCCTGGGTTGTGGGCCAGGTCCCCAGCGGGGGCCATGTAAGAGGCAACCACACATTGATGGTTCTTTTCCTCTCTCCCTCCCGCTCTCTCTAAATAAATAAAATAATAGAAAACAATAAAAGAAAAAGAAAATTCTATGATCATAGTTCATCCTTTAAAAATTTTTTGCCAAGTGTACAGTTAAAATATATGAAAATATTAGCAATATTAATTGTCATGGTTCATATGAAACCTTGAAGCATTGAGGAAAAGGTTGCTACATGTCAATAGTTTTTCACTGTGTCCTGGCTGGAGTGACTCTGGATCAAGTGCCACCGGCCTGCAAACCAAAGGGTCTCTGGTTCAATTCCCAGTTGGGGCACCTGGGTTGCAAGCATGAGAGGCAACCAGACATCGTCTCTCTCTCCATTCCCCTCTGTCTAAAAAATAAAATAAAGTCTTTAAAAATATATATATAGTTTTTCAGTGTAGACATAACTTTTCGTAACCATTTTGTGTGAAGAATAATGTTCAAATAGCACGACAGAAATGAATAAGGTACTGGCATAATCCTTAGGAATTGTCATAAGTCTAAAATTTAGTACCCCGGCCCGTTACAGTTAATGTCACTATTGTAAAATATGAATATTGAAGCTTAATCTTATTTTCATTAAAATTACCTTAACTGTGGGGAAAGTTTACTTTTCATAGACTTACAATTAATGAAATTGTATTTTTTTAAATGCATGCATCTATAAATATAGGAAAATAAAAAGGACAAAAATTTGATATTTTAAAAGTTTGGCATATTTGATAAATTAATAGAACTGTCAAGCTAGTATGTCTGTATTTATTCTTGTCCTTTGTAAGAATTAGTATAAAATGGGAAAAAAATGTTGAAAGCTGCCCCTGTTGAGGTCTTTCATGAAATATCAGACTTATGTCCAGTTTGAATTAAAAATGCACAGCACAAAGTCATTTCTGTTGCTATAACTTTTGAAAGATCTAGCATTAGCTTGACAGCTAAGTATTTAAGTGTTTTTAGTACGTGAAATGTTCATTTGGTTATTTAAAAATGTGTGCTAAAGCTTGATATTCATGAATGTTTAAATATTTATTTGGAGATATTTGAAAGAAATTCTCCAGATTTTATATAAGGGATTATTTAGATGGTCAACATGATTGCAATGGATCTATAAAAACAAAGCAGTAATAAAATATTCTTTTTATTTTCAGTAAATAGTAGCCAAGTATACCTTTTTATCATTGATGTTAAAATTATACTAGATTGGCATTATGTAGTAAAAAGCAAATTCAGTAACTTCAAGTCATTCACACTTACCACCGAACTTTCTTGTTACGAAGACAGACTGAATTACTGGTTGTATCTCCTACTAGTGACCTGGGTGAAAGGAAGAGTAAGCGGAGCCACAACACTTTTCCTTCGAGAAGAGGTGGTGTACGGATAGTTTGGGATTGCAAGAATTTCACTGGGAACTATTCCAAAATCTCTTGCTTTTTAATTTTTTTACGGGCTTTGGTAGTTGTAATGTTGAAGACTTTCTTTAAAGAACAGTGTGGGAGTATAGAGAAAATATTTTTGTTTCTTTACCATTAAAGCTTGCTGAGCCAATTTTACTGATACTTGGGACCTGTGCTGAAGGAGAAGCCCTCGAAGTTAAATTTGTGCCTGGATAGTGAGAAGCCATCCAGAATACATTAGTTTGCTAGGGCTGTCAAACAAAATACTACACTACAGACTGGGTGGCTTAAACAACGCAAAATTATTTTTTCCCACAATTCTGGAGGCTAAAAGTCCGAGATCAAGGTGGCAGCAGCTGTGGTATCTCCTGAGGTCTCCTTGGTTTCGAGACTGCCAGCTTTTTGCTGTGTCTTCACATGACCTTTCTTTGTACACACACATCTCTGGTATCTCTCCCTATGGGAAGGATGCCAGTCCTATAGAATTAGAACCCCATCCTTAGGACTTAATTTAACTTTAATTACCTCCATAAAAGCCCTGTTTCCAAATACAATCACATTGGGGTTCAGGTTCATAACATGAATGTTGGAGGGACATAATTTGGTGCATAACAGATACTTGCTTCTCTAGTATGCACATTTTAAGAGGAAATGAGACCTGGGGCCATGGCCGTATCTCTGGGTTGTAAATCTAAAGACAAGTTTGTCTTCCCTCCTGAAGACATATGCATACACTCCAAAGGAGAACCCAGGGTTCTTCCCAAGGAAAACTTGTTTACACTAAGGAATTAAGATTTCCTTTCTCTGAAGAAAGGAGGGCTTCGGTACAGCTGTCCTGGAGCGACCCATATTCCTGTTTGTATTGTGGGGTTCCTCACCTGTACTACAAACCCCAGTAAATGTAGGCTCTGACGAACTGTTAATGGGTCTGGTTCTCATCAGTCACCACACAGGTGAGCATTGGAGTGTGTGGAACAAATGTGATCATTGTAAGTAGTAATTAAACCTATCCATGCTCCAGAAACTTTGTGTGTACTTTCAGTAGAATACGAGCAAATAAAACTTAACAAACACGTTTCATCTGATGTTTCTTGAAATTGTAATCTCTTTAATACACATTTGGGGGGGGCATGTTATATTATGGTTAGAGGCTTGGGGTAATGAAAACCTGGGTCTCAGAACCCAGAGTTCAGTCTTAAGTGATGTCCCTTTTTTATATTTTCTCCTAGTCTAAAAGGGGCAAATCAAGGATTTAATTTAAGGTAATAAGTTAAAAAGTCAGCGCCTGTGGGTAGAGGAAATAATAAATCTAGTATTTGAGTAATGAGGTATGACTTGAGGCAAAAAAAAAAAATTGGAAGGTTTATGTGAATAAATCAGACCCTCCTAAATTAGCCTTATTTCATGACAGAATGGAATGGCACAGCAATGGACTACAAATAGGACAATCCTGTAAAAAGACTTCATTCTGAACTTGATACAAGGATTACAAGCGTTAGATCATCACAGACATATACATTATCCTTGATATATTGGTGAGTCCCTTATAGTCTTTGATTCTTACTTGATTCAACAATTTATTATCTTTTCTGCAATACAAATTCCTTGACATGTCTCTCTCCTTTAGAGCTTCATAATTTACTCAGCAAAGAAAGGGCAATGAAAGAAAGAGGAGGCAAAGAGGAAAGAGGAGGTAACTTCGTTTAGGAGAATGCTCTGGGGAGGCGGTTTTCTCCTACATGCTTACCACAGCCTCTTCTGAGGGCAAGTGCCATGCTCAGAGCCCCAGGCTTAGCAAAGCAACTCTAGCTTTACCTTATGCTTAAGTGGCCATTTGTGAGCACTTAACCATGCATGTCATAGTGACTCCAGCTGATTGTGCTAGAGGAGTAAGTCCCTGATTGACACACAGGCAATTTGTAGACCAGCTATCAGTCTAGTAGGTGTCTTGACATGAAAACCTTGCTTGATATGGATGATAATGTCTGTACCAATCCTAGTTTCTCAGGGCATCATACAAAGAGCAGGAGATGCAGAGCGTGTGTTGGCAGTGGAAGGAGAATAAGAAATACACAGGCAGACACCGAGTTGTTGGAGCTGGGTTAATATTTGTAGGGATCCGCTCCTGGGGTATGGGGCAGTGTTGGTGGCTAAACTCAGTAGAGCTCTATTAGATCCTGGATGTAGCCCAAACTATGTCCTAACTATATCACATTTCCTTGTCACTGCCTGATAACCAGCTTGAGGTCCCAGGGTTCCTTGCTTCTACTATCCAAAAGCCTCCCACCACCTATTTAAAAAAACAAAACAGAAACAAAGTATAATGTACACAAAGTGCACACAAATCAATTTCAATAGCATACAGAAACTGTCCAATATAATTGTTTCCTCCTCCCTCCTTTGTGCTACTATTGTTACACAAACCATATCTTTATACATTATAGTCTTATTATTTTACCTAGTTGTATTTGAAATCATACAGGAGAAGCAAAGAGTTATAAACAAAAGTACACTTCTGCTGTATTTTATATATTTTGCAGTACCTTGACTGGTAATCTTTAATTCTTCATGTGCACTGTAATGACTAGTTCTGTTCTCCCTAAAGGCTGTAGGACTGAATTGGTGTGGAAGAATATGGAAGAGAAGGTAGGAGGTGGACAAAATGAACGAGGAGGAAGGGTAGGTAGAGAATATAGAGAATTGAAGAGGATGTCTCTCATTCAGCTAATATTTAATAAGATTCTTCTATGTATCGGGAACTATGCTTGGCTCTGGCAATGCAGGCATATACCCAGGCATGGTAAAGAGACACGGTCCATGGCCTACACACTAGCAGGGAAGGAAAGGAATAAAAAGAAAGCCTGTCCGTCAGTCCATCAAATTACAAACTAAATTTTATGTGCTGTATGGAGAGGACCTACTTGAGATCACGTGTTCAGAAAAGCCGTCTTTGTGGATATGATACTTAAACCGAGAGGATAAGAAGCCAGGCTGATGGTGGTGGTAAGGTGGAGAGACTTAAGGGGAGGAGGGATCAGGACGTTCTAAGCAAACGGAACAGTAAGTGCAAAGCTGTAAGGCAGGGATGAACTTGGCATGTGTGAAGAACACAAAGAAGGTCAGTGTACTCAGTGTGCTTGGGGCGTAATGAATGAAGTAGGGAGTGGAAAAGAAAAGCTTAGATAGCTAGGGTCTTGATTACCCAGTATCTTGCACATGAGCCTAAAGAATTTTGACATTACTTAAAGCATAATGGAAAGCCATTAAAGCAGAAATAATGCACAGAAAGTCTGTAGTCTCTGCCTTAACACATATTCTATGTCCAGCACAGTGTTTTGCCAACATTTCATTTTAATTTCAAAACGGTGATTTCATGTAAAAGTCTACATTTGCAGCTTACCATGAAAAAAGATGAAGATCTCTCCATACTGGACTCCAACTGTTCAGTGCACATTGGGTGTCATCCAATGCGAGGGTTTTGCCAGGCAAGTGCCAAGAAGGCGGGGGAACTGGAGTTGAAGCTATTTACAAGGGAGTGATTATACGGCTGAAACAGAGACTAAGCTGGAAAAGATGGGAACTAGATGGGGCAGGTGAACAGGGCACGGTTCAGTGGCATGGTCATCTCAGTGAGCGCAAAAAATTGTTGCTGTAAGTGGAGGAATGAACTACTTCAACTTCCTTTCTTGCATGGCACCTGCGAAGCCCACACTGCAGCTGGGTTAACTGAAATCACAAACTGATCATCTTCCCACTAGCGTAGTCGAGAACTCTTCAGTCCTCACCCACGTCCCACACAGATCACCCACGCTGTAGGAAAACCCTGTGGGAAAGTGTGGAGTCGTCACTGCTAGGGTGTCCCGAAACGGGTTGGGAGGCCCGCCCACAGGCGACGGAAGGTGGGAAGGAGGTCCTCCGGCCACTCCCAGCGCGCGGTGTCCGAAAAGCCCGAGGATCTTGTGTCCCCGCGGTCCGCCCGAGGAGCGCGGCGCCCCCTGCCGTTCGCCCGTGGAGCGAGCGCGGCTCGGGCTCGGGCTCTCTGGAAGCCGGGAACATGGCTGGGCGGGCTGCGACCGGGGCCTCGCCGCCGGCCGACCGAGATGGAGCATCGCCCAATGTGGTGGCGCGGCTGTCGCAGTGGGCGGACGACCACCTGCGCCTCGTTCGGGTATCGCACCCAGCCAGCCGGGCAGGTGGTGGGCGGGCCGTGGACAGCGGGCTCCAAGGCCACAGCCCCAGGCGCATGTGGGCGAGGGGCAGGCGCGGCGGGCCCGGGAGGCCGGCGCTGCCCAGGTCCTGCCAGCACTGCGCTGGGACCCGGGACTCCCTAGAGAGCGGGAGCCCGCGGGTCTCTTAGAGCCGTTGCGGAGGGCAGAGCACGTAGGCCCTGTAGGCCTGGGGAGAGGAGAGCTTTCTTTGTTTTGTTTTTATTTTTAAGTGAAGTAGGAAGCCACTGAAGTTCTAGCAAGGGAGGGACGTTTGAGGCCGCCAGGCTAGAGGGGATTGTGGCTAAGACCCATTTGGTGGAGGTGGCGTGAATGGTGTGTGGCGGGGGACTGGGTGGGGGGTGGGGGGCCGGTGCGAAGAAATGGAGGAATCAGGGCAGCTCCCCCACTCGGTAGATGTTGGCAGAAGTTGCTGATATGTAGTAGTGGTTGGGGGTAAATGTTCTGTTAGGGTAATCTAGAGGACTTTTTGGACACGTGAACTTGAAGATGCCTATTAGACTTTTAAATAGAGCTGTGTGAACTCGAACATGGTCATTGGACTTCTAAACGTAGTGGGAGATGTTCTAGGCAACTGGATATGAGTCTAGTGTTGAAGGGAGATCAGAACTGGTTATACTTTTTGGAATGAGCTGCGTATGCCTGAAGAAGTATGTAAATCTTGGAGCGAGTCAAAAAAACTGAAGTACCCTAGTTTCAAACTGAGACCTGCAGGGCTCTCTAACAGCTAGAAGTGGGGGAGTGAAAAGAAGAATGTCAGCAAAGATTAGGAAGGAACAGTGAGGGAGGAGGAGGAACACCAGGTGTCCTAAAAGCCCAGTAAAAAGAATATTTTTAGGAGGAATGACTGACTTGGTTGAATTCTTCTGGGAATTTGGGTAGGACGAGCAGCCTTGCAAATACTCGGCAGCCAAGCAGCACACAGGGCGACTAGGACGATGCCTGATCTCACTTCCAGCAGTGCAGCTCCAGTCCTTAAAGCACTGTCTACCACTTAGTGCTAGATAATATTTCCTGCATTAATGAATGGTGGTAGGTATGTATATGCGTGTTAGTTGACCAGCCCTCCAGTCTCCCAGGTAAACAGAAACAGATGCATGGATTATTTTAAATGGAGAAACGACTTCAGTAGGATTGGGAAAGGAAACAGCGTTTAAGTTAGTTGAGAGATTATTGCAAATAACCCATGACAGCATGTAGCCCGTGTATGCTTTCAACTTCATTTTTTTAATAATACTTAGTTGTATTTATCAAGGAAAGCATGTCATATTCTCACTTTTGTTCAGGGAGTTGCAAAGTTCTTGTTTTTTAATGAAACTCCTTTAGGTCTATTTCTTTTAAATGAAATACTATGAAAACATCACTAAGTTTTTCTCAACTACTTACTCACATGTATTTTCCAAGGTGTTGTATTTTTAACATTTTGATGGTCGAGTTTTCCACCAAATACTTAAATTCCCACTGTAGACTCAGGATTCTGTGAGTTACTGTGGTCATTACACACGAAGTGTTAAACTTACCCTTGCTTTCAAAGAACTCATGGTTAAAGGAATCCAGTTAATAGAGAGCAGTACAATATTATGTGAACAATTACTGTGCATGCCAGATTGTTTGGGAGGAAAAGGGGAAGATTAATAGTTAGGTAAGCAGTTAAAGGTTTTGGTTTTTTTTGGAATAAGTAGGCCTTTTGTTGAAGAATGTGCCTTATTTGGATGGTTAGATATAGGAGGATGGTCTTTTTTTCCCCCTTCTAATTAATACTTTCACTGTTGTGAATAATAATTAGAATTAATCATTAAATCTCTTTCTGAAGAACTTCAGCACCATCATGGCCATAGCTGGAATAACATTACTTCTGAGAAGTGTTCGACTGGTAAGTTAAAACATGAACAAGGCATTGTGGGAAACAATAGTTCATTTTTTCTCACTTCAGTTTTTATCTCAAGCAGTGTGGCATTTTGGTATTCATATTAGAGACATTTAAATACTATTTTACAACAATGAACAATTAAGATCTTGTTTTAACAGTCACACATCCTCTGTATTTTATGGGAAGTAATTGCACAGCCTATATTTCCATCATCACTTTCTTTATGCTTAAAAAGGAATCTGAAAAGATTTAGTTTGCCCCAATGGTATAATCACTAAATTTGCATTTCAGACACTGTGGAATATCTCAAAACTTTCTATAGCGGTTTTAGATTTAGATCACAGCAGAATTATGTCCCTTTCACTGAATAATTTATGCTAGCTCTGATTTGCAACAATCTTGAAGATTGTTCAATGAATAAAGCAAGATGTGCAGTGTAAGAAAATAATTTATGCTTTCAGCCACAATATTTTTTTGCACTTTAATAGTGTTTTAATAATAAACATTGTGGAAATTCATTTGCTATGTCAAGATTTACAAGGTTTTTTTAATAACTACTTGCTATAGGATGTAATCTTAGTATCCTATTACAGTCTCACATGGATTTATTGCTTCTGTGTATATTAATTTCCTACATCTATTATCTCTTATTGTTTTATATTATCATAGACTGACTACAAGTATTACTGTACTACATCTTTTCCAGCTGTTGTCTTTTCCCCCTGGCTCCATGTCAACACTTTTGTCTTTTTTTTAATAAATGCCTCAGTCTTATTTTTAATCTTACAACTAATAGGTTCTTTCTCACAACTCCATGATTTTGTAAATAATTTCTTTAACATAATATATGTATATGTTTATTTGTACATATTTTATATATTATCTTTAATATATATATGACCGGAACTTTTGAAACTTCTTTTCATTCTAGTTTTTTCTTCCTTGATCTTAAAAATCTATATATTCCATGTATTTTGAATGTTTTCAAATTGTCAGAATGTTAAATGATCTGATTACGAGTTTGGGTAATAATAGCGCTGAGGGATCATTTGGCTTGGTAACCCTTAAAAATATACTTAAATCGGCCCTGGCTGGCGTAGCTCAGTGGATTGAGCGCGGGCTGGGAACCAAAGTGTCCCAGGTTCGATTCCCAGCCAGGGTACATGCCTGGGTTGCAGGCCATAACCCCCAGCAACCGCACATTGATGTTTCTCTCTCTATCTCCCTCCCTTCCCTCTCTAAAAATAAATAAATACAATTTAAAAATATATATATACTTAAATCATCCCTGGCTGTTGTGGCTCAGTGGATTGAGCACCGGCCTGCGAACCAAGGTTGCCAGTTTGATTTTCAGTCGGCACATGCCTGGGTTGCAGGCCAGGTCCCTGGTGGGGGGCACACGAGAGGCAACCGCACATTGATGTTTCTCTTCCTCTCTTTCTCCCTCCCTTCCCTTCTCTAAAAATAAATAAGTAAAATCTTTTTTTTTAGTGTGTGAGCTTTTAAAAAAAAGATTTTCTTTATTTATTTTTACAGAGAGAGGAAGTGAAGGAGAAAGAGAGGGAGGGAAACATCAATGTGTGGTTGCCTCTTGTGCACCCCTCGCATACTGGGGACCTGGCCCACAACCCAGGCATGTGCCCTGACTGGGAATCGAACCAGTGACCTTTTGGTTCACTGTCCAGAGTTCAATCCATTGAGCCACACCAGTCAAGGCAAATAAAATATTTAAAAAAGAAAAATGTACTTAAATCAGTTTGGTGAAGGACAAGCAGACAAGCAGAAGCAGAAGGGAGTTGTACTTTTTTTTGGTAGTTTTGTCATACTTTTGCTCATTTTGAGTTCACAATTAACTAAAACTTCTAACTTTTTATATATGCTCCTGTTAGCTTATTTCTTCTATCCTTCATTAGTTGGGGGTATAGTACAGGGGAAGACGTTTACATTTTAACCTTTCATTCTTGTTGTCAAGATATTTTTATTTTTTATTTTTAAAGATTTTACTTACTCATTTTTAGGGAGAGGGGAAAGGAGGGAGAAAGAGAGGGAGAGAAATCTCAATGTGTGGTTGCCTCTCACGTGCCCCCTAATGGGGACCTGACCAGCAACCCAGGCATGTGCCCCAACTGGGAATTGAACCAGAGACCCTTTGGTTCACAGGCCGGCACTCAATCCACTGGGCCACAGCAGCCGTACTCAAGATCTTTTTAAATACTCACTCTGACTCTTAGTGTTCATACCCTTCCAAGCATCAGACCATGCTGATGTTTCATCCTTACGCTCTCATTCAGGTTGGTGGTGGTCATCTTAAACTGGAGAGGATCCAGTGAGAGGTTTGTGGCTTACTCCTAGAGTGCTTGCCCCCAGTGATACTGATGAATTCATCAGTGCCACTGTTGTGTGTCATCTATGTGACATTAGCCTATGCGTCTTTTTCCCACAGACTTTTCAAAAGAGCCTTTGTCAGGTGACTCATTTAAACTCTTCATTTAGGATTTCTGCTCTCTTGTATTTACATTCTGCATATTTCACATTCCTTTTTTAGATTTTTGTTTTAATTTATTTATTTTTAGAGAGAGAGAGAGGAAGGGAGGGAGAAAGAGAGGGGGCGAAACATCAATGTGTGGTTGCCTCTCATGTGGCCCCCACTGGGGACCTGGCCCACAATGCAGGCATGTGCCCTGGACTAGGAATCAAACTGGTGACTCTTTGGTTTGCAGCCAGGGCTCAATCCACTGAGCTACACCGGCCAGGGCTGCATATTCCACATTCTTTAGGTTATTGTTTTGCGTTAGTTTTGGTGCCACATTCTTAAATGCTAATGGTAGATCCACAGTCCTTCTCCACCCCACTTCCCACCCCCAGCGTCTTCTTTAGAAAAAGCCTGTAACACTCACCTACTTTTTATCTGGCTTCGCCAGTTGTTAACATCTGTGGCAGTTGTGCTTTCTCTCTCTGTGAAACTATTTGAAAGCAGGTTGCAGACATCAGGGAACTTGCCCCATAAATACTTCATAGTGTACTTCCTAAAACAAGAATATGTTCCTGCATAACCACATAAGTATTAATTCTATCAATTATATTTAACATTTTTGCAGTAATATGGTCTAAGATACAGTTTATATTCAGATTTGCCTTCGTAAAATATCCTTCGTAGCTGTTTTTCCTAACCGCAGATCGCATCAAGGATCCTGCACTGTCATGTCTCTCTAGTCTCCTTTAACCAGGGAAATTGTCACCACCTATTTTTAATTTCTGTCTCTTGTGACATGGTCATCGTTGAAGAGCCAAGCCAGTTGTGTTGTAGAATGTCCCACACTCTGGGACTTTGTGTGTCCTCATTAGCTTTAGTGTGAACAGGAAGGCAGTGGATACTGCTTACTGTACTGCATCAAGAGGATCATAATGCCAGTTTGCCTTATAACATTATCACACATGGCATATTTAATAATCCCTTAGTGTTTTAGATCCAGTCCGTATTAAAATTTCCTTGATTGTCTAAATGAGGTCTTTTTTAAATAGATGATATATGCAAATCAGGACTCAAATGGTCTGGCTATTATACTTGTTCGTTGTATCTCTGATCTGATGTATTTTATAACGATCTACACTTTCTATCCCCCCCCACCCCGCCCAAGCCATTGATTTGTAGAGCAACCAAGTTGTTTGTCCCGTTGAATGTTTCACATTCTGGATTTGTCTGCTACAGTACGTTACTCGTGTGGATTTTTTTATAATGTTTAGTTCAACTTTGCTGGCCTAGGAAGCTGGGTACTAATTTATCCTGGGTATGTGAAGTTCTTACATAGCCATGATTATGAGCAAAGCTAGTCCCCATGCGCCTGTAGGATTGTTAATGTGGAAGACGCAGTTCTAGAATGTCGACTAACTCCAGGGCATTAGGTGTTTGTTAGGTGCTTAATTACATTGCTAATGTGAACCTTTTTTTTTTCATTCCTTTTTCTCCTACAAGATGAAAAATAAGAAAAATAAAAGTCTTTTCCATTGAGAGTTCTAATTTAATCTGACTCAGCTTTGTGTAGGTTTTCCCAGCGGTACCTGCAGGAGCGGGCGGCATGTCTGTACACCAGAGTAGTGACCATTTAACTGGGTCTGTGTGGTGCCTGATGCGGATCTGCATTCACTACACTCACTTCTTTCTGATGAACTGTGGCGTATTTTGAGAATATTAGCTTTCAGAAGTTAGGAGTCTGTTTAATGTGCTCTATGAGGCAGGTTAACATAGTAAAGCAGTAACAAAGATTTCTAAAGAATGTTCTTGTTTCATTTTTTTATTACTCTCATTTATTACATTACAGTTACCCCAATTTTTCCCCTCTGCCCTCCTCCACCCAGCACCACCCACTGCTGCCACACTCAGGCCCATCAGTCCCCACACTGTTGTTGTCCATGTCCGCGGGTCATTCCTACATGTTCCCTTCCCCTTCTGTCCACCATTGATTGCCCCTCCCCTCTGGCAGCTGGCAGCTTATAAAGGATGTCCTTATAACTTTAAACTAAACCATTTAAAATATTAACATAAAATTTAGAACCAAATAAAAATTTTTCAGTGGCTGTCTTCTGAAATGTTTAAATAACAATTTGACACACTTAAATTTAAAGTGAAAATAATAACAAAATGTTGTATTTCTCTCCTTGTAAACCATCAGACGTCAAAATTTACAAGTTCTTCAGATATTCCAGTAGAATTTATAAGAAAGAATGTTAAACTACGTGGACGATTACGCCGAATTACCGAGGATGGTTTAGAAATTGAGCATATACCTATTTCTTTACCGATTATATCTTCATGGAGAAGTAAGTAAGATGCAAGGATAACACACACACACACACACACACACACACACACACACACACAGAGGGTCTGGCACAAATAACGCCCCTTTTTGATTACAAAATCTTTTATTACAGAATCATAAGCATGTAATTCTGTAATGTAACAGTTATACTCAAGCATATCACGACGTTTTAGTTGAAATGTTCAAACTGCTGTCCATCTCACGTGAGGCATTCACATACCCTGCCAACCACACTTAGGCAGGCATTGTTTCTGCCGGACCGTGTGTGTGTGTATATATATATATATATATATATATATATACTATATATATATATATATATATATATATATATATATATATAAAAATCTGGAAGTTTTTTTAAAAGGTAAATGGGTTTTTGAAATTATTCCATCTGTCATATACTTGTATTGTTTTCAAAGAAAACTTGAATATAGAAATAAACAGACTTCCATCTGGAGAGAGTCTGGGTATTTATAAATAAACATAATACATTCAGTTGGTTTTTTGGGAGTTAAATGGTTTTGCAGTTACATTCACAGCATAGTATTACAGCCACGCTCATTTCTGCCTGACCTTTTAGAGGAGCCACGTGGTGCTCTGCTGGTCAGGCTGGCCGGAGTGGAGCTCACTGACGCTGGCAAGGTGTGGCTGCAGAAGGAACTCAGACCTTCCCAGCCACTTTGGTTCCAGCTTCTCGGAAAGGAGAATTCAGCACTCTTTTGCTACCTTTTAGTGAATAAGGTAAGTTGTATAAAGAAATAATGAGCAATATTGTATTTTTTAAATTTATACATAACTATGTATATGTATATATGATAGGCCTAACTATGTTTTTGCCTTTTTAAATTGCTATTCTTCATGATTATATTTAGAGAACCAGGTATTTATCTCATATATAAATTTTATTGTAAAATTTTAGTTATATATGTTTATTATAAAAATAGAAAATTAAGAAAAAGGAAACACTTAAAATTATTAATGCCTGTGGACATTGCTAATTTAAGGAGTCAATAAACTCTTTATACATTTATTTATGTTATGGGAATATGATATCACACTTGATGTTAGAAACCATTTGTTGAATGATGCTTGTTAACTGGAAACTACAAAAAGCAAGGGTGTTTTCTGAAGGTGAACATTGTTCAGTCTTTGAACCCCAAAGCTGAGCATCCTTAAACACTCTCATGACCAGTGGCCAGCCATCGGAAAACACTGCCTCGTGTAACTGGGGTGGGGGTGGTGGGACGCCCCAGAGCGTCACAGGAGTTGCTGGTGCTGTGGGCGTCACTGCGCTGAGTCCGTGAGGGTGCCTCACTCAGGGTTTCGGTGGGTGATTACTGAAAAAAGAGCATAGAAAAGTTAAATAGTGTTTAATAGGAAATTAAATTATGACATGTTATTGTAACATGTCATGACAATAGGAAATGTTATTATGACAGAATTAAGAGTTGTTTTTCTTCTATTAAAAGTCCCTTATTATATAATAAACAAGAATAACTCAAAGAATAACTCAAAGAAAACAATAACCATACATTAAAGTGATTGGAATTGTATCCATTTTAATTCTTAGGTTTTTGACTTATTGATAGAAAACCTACTAGAATCCATAATTTTTTGTTTGTCCAGATCATATCCATTTCTATCAAAATAAGAATTATCCAAAAGCATCTTACATTTGAAATTGATGATATGAAATTATATGATGATGCCAAAGGCACTTCAAAAATACTGTCTCCTCTTTTGAGCTGAGGAGTACATTTTACTGATCCTCCACGCCACCCTATGGAGTCGCTGTCTGTATTCCCATTTGCAGACGGGACGCGGGGTGGCCGAGTGGAAGAGCCTACACTCGGGCCGCTCTTCCGGGCTCCGGAGCCCAGACCTCACCTTCCCTGTTTTACCTTCCGTAGCTTCCTGGCAGGGGGCCAAACTAGGCAGTATGTATATTGTGGTAATTTACATATGTTGAATTTTGCTAATGTGTGAGATTGAATTTTGATTATTCTGATTTTGATTTAAGGGAATGAGCTCTTTAAATAATTGAGAAAAATGTGATAAACATTTTAAAACTCTATTAACTCTTCAGCAGCATCATACACCAGAAGTTACTGCATTTAAAGAAGGAAAAGGTTCCTTTTTCTTTAGATAGTTCTAGAAAATATCTCCTACTTTAAACCTGGAGTTTTCACATTTTTATATTTTAACTGTAAATTATTTGTCTAAGGAAGCTAAGAAAGTACTAATAATTTGTTAAAATACCACAAGGCCTATAGAAATAGCTAAGCTGGATCTCCTTTATATTGTAAATTAGTGGGGAGAAAAAAAGTCCCATTTATCCAGTTTCGTTAGGAAGTGTGGGATTCCATGAATGAAATTTTCTAAAGGATGAAAATTCAAGGCCAGGCCTATTTTTATGTTAATTATTTGGTGGAAAGTGTTTTAAAATGTTATTTACATGCCAGTGCCTTCGTTAACCTAATTTAATAGTTCCATGATGGTTCAGTTCATCTTGCATTTATCCACTGCTGAGTTTCTTCTGCCTGTCTCCTGTGGTCCATCCCCCACCAAACAACAAACAAACGAACCACTCTTTATATACTTTACTGCTTCTGCATCTCTTTGGGTGAGACCAATGAGACTGTGCAGAATAGTATGTTACAAAACAGGCAATTGACTTTGAGTAAGGATCTCTTTTAGTAATGAAATTCTTGGATTTCGCATAGCTGTTTTAAGCTCTTTGGGAAACCTTGACTTTTTGTTTTTTCTCGGGAAGACTCAAGTTGCTGAATGACTGATTTTAAAGTAAATAGATGGCAGCTGTGGGGGGAAGCTGGGGAGTGGAGGGATTGAGCAAAAAGGAAAAAGGACTGTGGAGATTACTGGGGGAGGGGAGTATTAGGGGACTAAATGGTAACAGAAAAAATAAAGATTAGATAAAAATATAGTAAGTATATGTTATGGGTATAGTATCAATTTTCTTAATTGGTTTGTGTTATTTGTTTATTCAAGGGTAGATTTTTTAGTGTGAGTCTGAATGAAGAAATTTTGAGAAGAGGCCTTGGCAAAACTGTTCTCATTAAAGGGTTAGATTATGATTCTAAAATCTATTGGAAAATACACAGAAACTTACTTAAAGCTGAATTAGCAGCCTTAAAAAAGGGAGAAGGAATCTGGAAAGAAGAATCTGAAAAAGAAAGTTATTTGGAAAAATTCAAAGGCTCCTGGAGAGAAATATGGAAAAAAGACAGTTATTTAAAAAGAATTGGATCAGATTTCAACCTGAAAAAAGAAAGTTATTATGACAAATTTAGAAACACTTATGAAGCATGGAAAGACAACTCATTAATCCTGAGGTTCAGAGAACTTAAGAGTCGCATACACTTTCGTAGAAAAGGGTGAAATATTCCTAGAGAGCCGGAGATGACTTACTGTGAGAAGAGCAGACTATGGAAATATATGGATATTCTTCATTGATTTAAAATGGGATTCCTCCCCTCCCCCGAAATGATCAAACTTGTATTCTCATGGCATTTAAATATTTAAGAGATAATTGTTATGAAGATGACATCAGAATAATTTAAACCAATTGTGATTAATGTAATATACTTTTAAGAAAAACGAAACACTGTAAGACCTTACCGGGTTGGAGGATATATACATGTACTGTTGGTCTTTGAAGAGAGAGTTTAACTCTGGGTTGTATTATTTGTAGTTATTTTGGACAGCCATATTTAATATTTGTTTGGAGAGAATAGTCTTCCATTTTTTTCAACTTCGATTATTTATAATAAAGGACCTGTTTATAACTCATGTCTGAGGCTGTTCTTTTCTCTCATCTGCTTTCTGTCTGTGCATGTGGGTCAGTGCTCCTGGAGAAGTTCACTTGGACCTTTCCTAGCAATAAAGAATGTCTAATTCCCACTGTTATTACTTGAGGACAGAATCTTTTGTTTTTTAAGGTTTTATTTATGTATTTTAGAGAGAGGGCAAGGGAGGAAGAAAGAGAGGGAGAGAAACGTCCATGTGTGGTTGCTTCTCATGGACCTCCAACCAGAAGCCCAGCCTGCCCCCTCAGCCATGCCCTGCCTAGGAATCGAACTGGCAACCTTTCAGTTTGCAAGACGCCCAACCCACTGAGCTACCCCAGTCAGGGGAGGAGTACAGAATCTTGACGATGATGATGAGGGGGATAATCCTGAAGCTAAAACATGTGTTTAGGATGGCAGCACAGAGTAGAAAGCATAGAGATGCCTTCTGACATTGTTAAACTCCTAAAGTAGCCAACCCTTGAAAGATTTTATCGTCCATCTTCCTAATTACGTGAAATAGTAAATTCACTCATTTTAAAGCCAGTTTGAGTTGGTTTGAGGATTTGGCATAAACACATACTTGCTGCTAAAACCATGCTGACAGTGCACAGCTTCTTTGACAGTGCTGGTGATAATCCCCTAACATCCACAATGTCCACATTTTTCTTAATGACCTGTGATCCTGATAAAAGTCAGAGGTATCATCTGGTCCAAATTGTTGGCTCCTGTGAGAATCAGCGATATAGAATACGAAGTTTCCTACAGCTGCCCGACTCCTGGTTAAAACATAACAAAGCAGCCCTGGCTGGTGTAGCTCAGTGGATTGAGCACTGGTCTGTGAACCAGTTGGGTTGTGAGTTCAATCCCCAGTGAGGGTACATGCCTAGGTTACAGGCCAGGTCCCTATTAGGGGGCATGTGAGAGGCAAGCACACATTGAAGTTTCTCTCTTTCTCCAACCCTTACCCTCTAAAAAATAAACAAAATCTCAAAAATATGTAATAGTGTATTTCCCTATGTGAAATGAGGTCACAAATTTTCCAAGGATTCTTTTTTTTAATGTGATTTTATTTCATCACCTTTGGGGAGGATAAGAGGTTATGTTACCAATTCAAGGTTTGTGTGCCTGATGCTTCAAAGGCCCATATTCAAAATGTCAGCTTGGAGTAAGGAAAGGTTTATTGACTGAGAAAGTACCAGCTCGTGAGGATGGGGCCTTACAGCTTCCGCAAATCCACGAGAGCCCAGAATTCAGGCTGCTTCTGTGTGATGGGAAGGGAGAGCGGGCCAGGTAAGAGGTGTGTGACCCCTAGACCCCAACAGAGGGCCCAAGGAAGAGGGCGAAATCTCAACATCTTGTTCCCTGGTCTCTGATCCGGCTGATCTGAGTCTGGTCTTGAGATTCCTGCAAATTTTTGTCAGAAGCTCAAGTCTCAAGCAGAATGCCTCTAATAATTAGCCTATCTGTAATTATATGCAGGAACTACTTGCATGAAGGCCATGGGAGAAAGGCAGGCTACAATTAAGGTAGGGTCAGGGAGATTAACAAGCATTTCACTCTTACAGTTACATGCTAGCTTCTATAAGCTGGGCCTAATGCCTCAATAGCTTTTTGTTTTGTTTTAAGGGGATGTTTTATTTTTATTTACACTGAAATAAATATTTTAAACTAGTTTTGTAGCAACCTCTGGAGCCATTTGCATTTCCAGTTTGCCTCCCAGTGATGTCAGATCTCATCTTGGTTCTCACTATAATTAGTTCTGATGACCTCTACCAGCTCAGCCAGTAAACAATTGTCTCTCCAGTTAAGGCAGGTGAAGGTGAGGCTGGTGCAGGTCTTTCTATAGACTAGAATCCGCTCACCTTTCCCTTGATGCTATCGTAGGGAACTCTGATTTTATGGATGAGACGGACAAGAAGAAAAACAGATCAGTGGGACTTGTGTCACATGCAGTCGCCGTGTGCTGAATACTCTTGCTGTCCACTTAAAGAGGGGCAGTGTCAATAACTACTCGAAGGTTAGGATGAATCCCATTGGTCAGCAGCTTTCATCTGGGCCAACAACCTCTGCTTTTCTGTTTTTCTCTCTGGTGTTTGTTGTAGACAAGCTTGTTTGGGGGCCCAAGGGTAAAGTGCTCTAGGTAATTGCAGAGAGGCTAGATCTTTGTCATTGGAGATGTTTACAACAGGGCTGTTTGGAAAAGTGGGAAGATCCCTTTTAAGCTGGACTTCTGACCATAGTCCAGGTTCTTTGCCTTGTTCAAATGGAGAATTTATTACTTCTTGGTCTTCCTCCTGCCTTCAAAACAGGATCCATGACCATCTTCCCCTCTTGGCATTTGCATATCTAGACCCTTTTACTTTTTAAATATATATTTATCAAATGAATTTAGTTCTTAATTTTTCTAAAGGATTGGATTTTTATGACCCTTATCAATCTGTTTTCTTCTAGATCCACATTTCCTTTTTCAGGTTTTATATATTTATTTATTTACTTATTTTCTGATCATACTTCTTATATAGGAGATGTTGACAGCAACACCAGCCTTATCCTAAGTAATGATGGACAAAACTTGGGAGGAGAGTGAGAATTGCGCCCATACGTATGACCAGGCACAGTTGTGGTTGGGCAGCTGAAAGCATGCTCTAGCAACATCCAGAAAGGAGGAAACAGACAACCAACTCTCCTTACAATTTGCTTTCTGTTTGCTGTATTGATGTTTCTGTTGGTTCCGCCCACGAGACAGATGTCTAGATGCTGGCTCCTCTCTGACACATTTGGTCACAGTTGTTCCGTGAGTGCTCTCTAGGGGTCCTCTGTCTTGGGAAACTCTTACCACTCTCTCTCCTCACCTACTTAACTCCCGGGCAGTCCGGTCTATGGTCTTTTACTTCTGGATCCCTACCCTCCGGGACGGCTAGGGCACTGAGTTTGCTTTGGTAAGGTGACTGGCCTTAATCACTCCATTCATGGGTGTGTGTGTTGGGAGGAGGGATGGATCAGCAAGTCTGTTTCGACCCTGCCACTTCGCATGGTATTAGTTCAACTTAAAGGAATTTCATGGATTTTGATACTAAATGTACTAGTGATGGGAATGTAGGCTATCCACCACGTGCTTCCTCTCTCTTGCTTTCCTCTTTTGTCATGCTTCTTTCGTCTTGTCTCAGGAATCTGAGGTGCCAGAGGGTCCAGTAGTTTAGCAAATGTCAAAAGAGATCGTCACTATTTCCCAACGTAGTGAAAACAGGATGTACGGCATCCGGGGTCTTGCCTGAAGGGCAGTGAAGAGCTAACATCAGATCCTCCCCCTCCCTGTGTGAGCAGGTGAGGGAAGGGATGGTTGCGGCTCCACAAACCCCGCCTTCCTCCAGGACCTCTGTCCTCTCTCGGTTGTGAAACCTTCTAATCCGCTTACCTTTCCGACCTCTGGGAAAGCGTGGGGAATCTGCTGCCTGAAATGCCATCTCTTAAACACTTGACTTGAAGAAATATTAGGGTCATTAATTCCAACAATTGTGCTATCATCTCTCCCATTATTTCTGCTCTCTGTGGTAATTTTGAGTGTGCTAAAGATGTATAGTGGTTAGTGTAGTGTTCCGTACTTCACACCATCCTGGAACACTTGCAATGTCTGCTTGAGAATGGACTATATCTGAGACAGGCAGATAATACTGGGCCCAGAGTTTCATCCTTTTCTGGATGTCCCCAGCATCAACTGGTTCCTCATCAAGGTGAAGTTTGCATCTCTGAGACATGAGTTCCCCCGGGGTAATGCAACTCCATGCGCTGTCCTCAGGCATATTGTTGACACAGTCTGACCCACATCCAGTGGTGGCATATGGCGCTAATGTAGAGACAGTGGCTTTTCATGAACAGACAACGTGGTTCACAAAGCCAAGAAACAGCAGCATTTCAGAAGTCGGAGGCACCGACAGAATCATTCTTGCTTAAGCCACCATTGGCAGACACACTGAGGAACAGCAGGTGCTGCAGGGATAGCCTGGGTGGAGGTGGGGTCCCAGCTTTGCTTTGTGATGTGGAGAGACGTTTTCCTCAGCCTTCTTGGGGTCCCTAGCTGGGCCTGAAAATTAAACTGACAAAGACAGATTACCAAAAGGAAAAGCATACATATTTATTTAATTGGTTTTATGGGACATGAGAGACTTCACAAGGAAACAATGACCCAAAGAAACAGACCTGAGTGTCTTGTGCTAGGTTTGACGAAGAGCACCCAGTCACGGGGGAGTATGGTAAGGTAAGGAGTATGAGACAAGTGTACTAACCTGGAGGGAATTTAGCAAGACCTGTTCCGGTTCCTCTTGGCGTCCCTTTGCTGTTGGAGATAAGGGTGTTCCTTTCCTCCAGCTATAGGGAGGACACTTCTTACAGGAGGGTTTTATGACCTGTTTCAGGGAAGAAGGCAAGCGAAGGAGGAAGACAAGTGACTTTTCTGCTCTGGCCATTTTCTCAGAGTCCTTCAGCTTTAAATAGGAAATGTGTCCAGGTGCTGGTACTTTGGGGTGGTATGTCCTGAACCTCATTAGTGGTGTGGAGCTTTTCTAACGCTGTTTCCAAAAGCTGCTATTTCAATGAAGGCAAGTCACAGGAAGAAAGTAATGCAAATTTATGAAAAGACTGAAGAAAAGAAAAGACCTCATGATTAAATATTAAAACATGAAGAATGGAAATTTAAAAGTGATAAGGAAAAAAGCTTAATTATGAGTCAACTATACTTCTATTTCAAGATGGCCATTAGCTTATTTACTTCCATTCAAATTACATGAAAATATCAAACAAATACTAAAATAGAAAAAAATGGTGTCAATGCTGGAAAATGGGACAATGCCATCATTAACTATCTAGATATTTGGAAGTTTTGCAACGTATGATGAAATGGCATTAGATTGAGATACTGATGATTTTAGGGTCTAGTATTTAGGGAAGACGGTAAGGCTCATATAGAAGTAAGTCCATGCTCTAGTTTGGGGTCTCTGAGTGATA